GGGAGGACGTCCCAAAGCGCTTCACAAAACACACTGTAAAGTGAATTGACTGTATATTTGTGGGTGAACACGGCAGCCAATTGCGCACAGCAATGTCCCACAAACAGTCGTAGATTGAAAATGACCAATTTTTATTATTGGTTTTTTTTTTGGTTTTGGAGGGATTATTATTAGGTGTGTGGAGTAAGGAAACTTGCCCAAGGTTTCGCCCTGCCTGGAATTTAACTCAGATCTCTCACTTGCAAAGTGATTGCTCTAACCACTGAGCTACAGGACTCCACCTTTTGTGTATGGTTGAGCTGGGGAGGGCATTGGAAAAGTCCAGCCGGGAAGTGACAAAGGCATGGATGAGGGTTTTGGCTGTGTTGCTTGTGAGGTAAATTGTGAGGTTAGTTGGGAAGCGGGCAATGTGCCAGAAGTGGAAAAAAGCGATCCTGATCAGGGAACATATGTGGTGTAGAAAGGAAAGCTGGGGAATGAACCTGACACCCTAAGTTGCACACAGGTTCGGAGAGGCTGAGGGAGAGTCCGGGAAGGTTGAGGAATTCAGACTCACAGGAGAGATGATGTTGACGGGAGCCAAAGAGTATGGCTTCCGTCTTGCCGACATTCAGTTGCAGGAAATTTGCGCTCATCCAGGCCTTGATATCCGTCAAACAAGCTGACAGAACATCAGTGGACCGGGAATCGCAGCTGGAGGAAGAGAAGTAAATTTGGGTGTCATCTGCATTGACCTCATGTCTGCAGATGTCATTGCTGAGACAGAGCATATAGATGAGGAAAAGAAGGAGGGCAAGAATGGAGCCTTGGGGTATCCCACAGGTGACCAGTTACATGTTGGACCTGTTTCAGACACAAGCATAACTTTTCATTTAATTTTATTGGACAGCTCTAACCCTACCAGGGAACTGCCCATATTGTTTTCAATTGAATCTTCTTCACTATACCCATCACACCATCCCTCAAAGTAAAATCAATCTTCAAACAAGCACCAGCACTGCAAGGTTTGGCTAGAAAAGCTTGATGTGACGTTATCACATAAACTTAAGTGTCCATCGCCTTTTTACTTTCTATCAAAAACTGGAGTCTAATTTCTTGTATTTCTTCTACCTGTTAATTGGCAGGGTTACAATGTGTGCACATCCAAAATGCTTGAAAAAATAATTTTCAAAGCTTAGGGTCTTTCAAAGAAAATTGATTTTTACTGATGCACTTCAAGGCCCAGAAAAGTATTTATAGTGAAAAAACTTTTAAAAATTATTTTCATAATAATAATACTTGTATTTAATATAACACCTTGCATATCAGGAGAACATTTCAAAGTAATTCACAGGATTTACTGTAAAGTGTAGTGACTGTATATTTTGTAGGTGAATGACCTTAAACATTTCTAAGTGTAATGTGATCTCTGTGCAATATTCCACTCACTGACACTTTAGCATTCATGCTCTCAGCGTTTGACACAATGTCAGTTCTCAGTGTCTTTCAACAATCACAAAATTCAAGCAATACTTTCATTCAACTGGATCAGTGTTGAACTATTATCATTGTTTTAATGTACCATTGTTCAGAACATATGCCTAACATGTGTAATAGGGTTATGTGACACAGCTAACACCAGTGCAGTAGCTCATGTTCTCTATTGATAGCGAGCAGGTGTTTATTCTAAAAAGAAGCTTAAACATTAAAAGCCTATTTTGACCATTCTGTCCATAAACAATGCATTTCCCTATGCTGTATTATAATAATACATTTGATATTTTTCCTTTCATGTCTCAAAGTGCTCCACAGGATATATTGTAAAGTGTAGTGACTGTAGTTTGTACATAAATATGGCAGTCAATTCACACATTACGATGCCCGACAAACAGCCTGGACCAATTTTATTTGGGGGATGAATGTCCAGGACTCCAGGAGAAACTCCCTTCTCTTTTGGAATAGTGTAATGGAATCGTTAAGGGCCACTTGGACAAGCAGACTCATTCTCGTGAGGCAGATAACCTTAGGCAAACACCCAAGAAGATAAAACTTTGTGAAATGTCTTGCATCCTCAATATTAACCCAGAGAAATCTAAAAACTATTATTTCACTTGTACACTTACAGTTCTCATTGTTCATTTTTATAACCCTGTTTCACAATAATACACCATAAATACAATGCTGTTCCAAACTTTAAAAAATGAAAAATATGAATATTAATAATAATCTTGCTCATTGAGATGCCTCAGAGCACTTCACAGGATCTTATAGTAGGGTGTAGTGACTAAGTATTGGTGGACGAATACGGCAGCCAAGTCCTATAAACACCCATGAAGTGAATGACCAATTTTATCTCAGGAATTGCTGGCTGGAAGAAACTCGATTCTCTTTTGAAATAGTGCCCTGGGATCTTTTACACCCACATTGAATATCATATAGTTCTCAAGAATTATTTCCCTCCACCCACTTTAACTTAATTTGTCCCAATCTGACTGGCTACCTTCTCCTTAACCATACTGATCATGCTTGCTGCTCTTTTCCTTGCCATAATGACACTGGGATCAATAACCAACAATTCCTCTCCCTTCTCCCCATCTAATTGTATAGACCAAAGACATTTCCAAATTTAAAACTACTTTTGAGCATAAGAGCAACAAAAGAGCACCTCAGACCAGCGAAGGAACTCAATAAAGTTCAGCACCTCAGATTGTAAGTGGATTTTAATGTGTAATAGGGATAAATGAGGAACAAATTTTGTTCAATTCATTTCCATAAGGAACAGATCAATAGACATGACCAGCTCAACGACTAATAGGTGAATCATAAATTGTTAAAGGTCTGATATCTGGGTTTTGTTCTACATTTTAGTTTTCTAAGATCATTTCGCCTTAGATATCAACAATGTCCTTTTACAGTGTTGTCCTTGATATTTTTCCTTTCACGTCTGGAGGATGTCTCAAAGTGCTCCACAGGATATATTGTATCCAGTGTTACTTTCTAAATATTAGGCGTTATAGCTACATCTTCTAACACATTTTTTCAATGTATTTGTTTTATGCCAAGACCCATCAGCACAGTCAAAATGAAATCCCCTTTTCTTCTTAAAAGAGGTAACTGCATGGGGGTTAAATCAAAACTAGGTTTGAATGAACCTATGCAGGTTGAATGACAGGAGGACTTTAGGAGTGGAGTTATTTTAAGCAAGTATCCAAACAAATGACTAATGTCTTCTCCAGTGACAGCTGAATTAGGATCCTAAAGTGTACCAGCAAGAAGAGCAAGGCAAATCCCTCTCCACAGCCGAGTGATTTCAGGTGTTCTGTGGACTGAAAGTGATACCCTGCTGAAAAAGGAAGACTCTTCTGTAGAAACATGTCCATGAAGGATTAATTCAACATTCGGCAGCTGGAAAACATTGTCAGACAGGAATCTTATCCGAACCATTAGGATGCTTTATTGTGTGCTTGAGTTAAAGTCTGCCTGAGAAAACATCCCCATAATACCAGAAGGCATGTGTGATTTTATTGCCTTAGTGTGCTCCTCAGCAGATAAACTTGCATTGAAGCTTTAATCTTGTGTATGTTGATGGTACTTATTGTAAGGAGCAGGAAAGACTTGCGTTAAAGTCCATATTAGCCCTCACTGCTCTGTTCAAATATCCAATGTGATTTATCGGTAAGTATTCATCATTGATTCCCAGCATGTTATTCTAGATCTTCATAGAAACACTAATAGTTCCTTTAAATAAAATGCTTTAATGAGTGTCTTTGAATAGTACTGATTGTTATACATATCAGCAAACACAACAGTTAAACATGTACTAGCAACATCCCACAAACACCATTGTCAGAATACCAGGAAAAACTCTTTTCAAATAGTGTCATGGAATCTTTTCTTTAACATCCACCTGAACAAGCAGATGGGATCTCGGTTTAATATTGCATCCAAAGGACAATACAGAGCTCTCCCAACACTGCATTTGCGTGTCAACCTAGAATGTGACGCCATGAGTTCAAAGTCCTGTTAAATAAATCTGGGTTAATAAAATAGTAGCCTCAGGTTGACTTACAACTGCTAACAGCTTTCATATCCATTAAAGTACGTTGGATCAAAGTCTCAACATCTCATCCAAAGTACAGCACCTCCAACAAAGCAATACTACTTCAGCAGTGCATTGAAGTATCAGACGAGACAATATGTTCAATGTCTCAAAGTCTGACTTGAACCCATATCTTTCAGGGTCAGAGGCGAATGATACCAGATGAGCCAGGCTGACACCTAGCGCTATGTCTCACTTGCTCAGAATGACAGGAATCCCAGTTAGTGACAGAATGAATCCTTAACAATCCAATTTCTTTACTGAGATTATCTACACTTAACACAGGTACCGAGTGTTAATTTGTTGTGCCAGAGATTTAGTATCATGAAACCCCTGGTGGAGAAAAATACAGTTTTTAGAGTGATGCTGAACCTTACAGATCAAGTGGAGGTGCTATAATTGGCCTCCGTATTCTGGCTTGGGAGGGGAAAACTATAAAACCTGCCCCTGTTCACTGTCCTTTGACTTTAACAGGTGTGGAAGATAATACCAAGCTTAACTCTAATACTGACTGAATAGACTGCTGACGCACACTCTATGTGTTCACCTATGAAGGACACACATCCACACGTACACAAGGGTGAAAATACTAGAACCTTCCTATTGATCTGTGTGCAGTTAATTACTTTACAATGAGTTAAACACATTCACTGGAGTGAAAATTACAATTCTAGGAAGCACTTTGAGGCATTCTCCCAACATAAAAGATGCAATATCAAATACAGAAATTATTATTAATTGACAATGGGTCACAATTTTCATCTGTTATCCAAAATAAATTGTCATGGATTAGTATGCAGCAGACATTTCTCAAGCATGTGCATAAGTTTTATTAGCCTGTCATGTACCAGATTAATAGATGCAAAATAACATGTAGTTTGCCATGGCAGACAATAAATAGTAAAAATACAACATGACCTACACGTCATCCGGGCAGTTGCTCGGTGTTTCCAGCCGTCCTCCCGAACGAACAAAGTGCAGAACCTCAAGGTTAGAATAGGTTTGATATGGCTGCTGTCCAAGAGTCGCAATTTCCCAGAGCAGCACCCCAAACGACCTGGAATAAAAAGAGTACAAACACAAGAACTGCATCTTAATAATTTTAGTCAGTCCAAGAACTAAGGAAATCAGCATTGTCTGTTTCAAGCTTAAACCGCTCGGTCTCTCTGGATTTTCAACTTGGCAAGGTCTATTCCATCCAGAGTACGTGTGCCTCTCATTCTTATCTCCTATATGCAAGACTATGCATTTATTTATCTGTATTGAATTTCATTTGCCAGTGACAGCCCAAGTGCATATATTCTCCAGCTCTTTGGTTAACTCTTCTGATTCCACAGTTTCACGAGTTATTCAATTCAATCCCATCCCCCTTTTAGCAAACTCTCCCTCATCTGGCCTCTTTATTCTTCCCTTTAGCCGCTTACTAAAACACATCTATAACTTATGTTTGACACACACTGACATTTGTTTGTTAAGGAGTCTCTCATGAACTTTATATGGAATATATTTATATGGCTTCCCACTGATCATGGATGCTAAATCCAAACAGAACACTTTATCTAAGCAAACTGAGTTAACAGGAGCTTTAGACATGGTCAGTTATTATTTTATTGAACATACAATTCTAAAAAGCATTATTTATACCTAATTTTCTTTCTGTAAAAAAAAGTACTAATATTTTAGGAAGATCCTTGATATCACAGACAGAGGAAGATCCTTGATATCACAGACAGACAGAAAACATCAGCAAGTTGCAGCATTCTCAGATACTTTAATTCCCAATGCTAGAATTTTCTGGCACACAATTTGTGAATACTGTATTGCCCACTTGTTTGGGATTTGCTTGGACAGCCCATATAAACTAAGGTCTGTCTGTGTGTGAGGAGGTGAGTTTAGTAAAATAAATGTATTCAATGATTGACGTCCAATGATCAGAGAGTATTCAACATCCACTGTTAAGTGGATATTTTTTCTCATTTTCAATTGTACATACCAGAAGGTTTCCAATTTGCACTACAGAGCAGTGCAACCACTATAAATATCCTTCATTCAAACCATAATATTGTTACAGTATAAGCATATGCAGTATGGGCGGCTTTTCTGAGACGTTATTCTCCTAAATAATTGACGTAAATATTTAAACACTTTCAACAGAATGCAGGAAAAGATTTTTGCCCTCTTTTGAGACAAATGTGTATTTGGTATTCGCCTGTTGTCCAGCTGCTTTTCAAGGCTTCCTATTAAATACAATTTGTAGAAGTCCTGTAGCTCAGTGCTTAGAGCACTCGCCTCGCAAGTGAGAGACCTGGGTTTGATTCCTGGCAGGGCGAAACCTTGGGCAAGTTTCATTACTCCACACACCTGATAATAATCCCTCAAGAAAAAAAACAATAATAAAATTGGTCACTTCAATCCAGGACTGTTTATGAGACACTGCTATGCACAATTGAGCTGCCACGTTTCGCCCACAAATATACAGTCAATTCACTTTACAGTATATTCTGTCAAGCACTTTGAGATGTCTAGAAGTCATGAAAAGCGTTGTATCAAATGCAAGGATTATAATTATAATAATTTCTAATTTGTGCAAAAGCATTAGTATATACAGCACATTTGAATTAAAAAATTCAAAAATATTTAAATCAAGTGCAGCATAGAAAAGGACCAAGAAATTACAGGAGTATAGCAGATTAATCTTTATTCTGTAGCAGTGCATTATTCAACACTGACACTCAGGATCTGCATTCAAATCAAACTCTTCAGTAAGAAACATATTTTTGTTAGTGCAATCTGTGTTGATCCCATGAGATGAACATCACTCTTCACTATCAGTAGCTATAATGATGGCCACTTGTGGTAACAAAAATGACAACACACAAATCTCTGGACTGACCTCAGGCCCAGCTGTTGTGCTCAAGTTGGGAAGAGGAAAAATCACACCCATGGTTAATTTTTGTTATCGACTGAAAATTGTGATACTTCTTCACAAATCTGATGTGTTAATTATCACATTGCTAATCTGTTAAGAAACATCACTTTTTATTTATTTTGATTGTTTTAATTTTGGAATGAAATAGATAAACATACAGCGATTAAAGATCCAAGAAGGTAAGCAGTAAGAGGAGGGAATGGTATTAGAGAATGGGGAGTTAACAAGGCACAGGCACAATGAACTGAATAGTCTCCTGATGTGCTGAGATTTCTATGCTTATGCTCTATGTTAATTCCAATGCCAGAGTTTTTATCTTAGTGAACGTTTTAAATATTTTAGACATGTGTAACAATCTGTGTTCTTACGGTCCTTGTTATTAGAAACAGGAGGCATTGGCGATGAGAAGAAGATGATCAAAGTCCTATATAATTCCCAGTGAGAGAAAATATTGGCATTAGGCTTTAAGCAGAGTTCAAAGTCCATAGCTCTGCAAACATGTTTCCAATAAAAGTGGTGCTTCAAATGGGATATGGATGAGATAGAGTAAAATGAATCTTATTAAGAAGGAAGTTTGAGAGGGCAGCAGGCTATGCAGCACATATAATGTAGGTTTATCCCTGTGATTCCCATCAGTGTGAATTTCTACCCTCAGCAGTGCATTGGAGTAGATGCCAAGTGGCAGCCAGGGAGGGAATGGAATGAGAATCAAGTACCAGTCACCTTGTGCTGCTTCACAGTCAACTGTTGAGGGGTCTGTTTAGGAGCCTAGGGACTAGATTCCCGAGCCGTACATTCAGCTTGGGGTTGGCTCTGGGAGACTCAGAACAACAACAACTTGCATTTATACAGCACCCTTCAAGCGGGGTAGAGTCTCGGAGTACAGAAGAGAGGAAGAAGAAATGAAACACAAAAAAAGGCTTGAAGAAGCTTAAAAAACTACATTAATGCTATACACAAATCCTATCATAAACAATAAGGAAGAGCAGATAGTCATGTCTGCAAAAGTAGACCACCTATACCAAAATCTGCAAGCAGTAATAGGGATTAATCCTGAGCCATTAAAACACAGCAGAAATTTGCATTCTCCTGTTGGTAACATTTACCAGACATCAGAGTAGTTGGTAAACACGCCATCGATTAAGCTCTCTGGTGCCATCCATCTGACAGGAAGCAGTCCTTCTCCCCTTTTCCTGTAGTAGTCATTTTTGTAGACATCTCTAGCTAATCCAAAGTCACCAATCTTTACAGTACGATTTGGGTTATCGTATTTCTTTGTTGACACGAGACAGTTCCGAGCTGCCAAGTCCCTGAAAAACATCAGAAAGAATTCAAGAATGAATACATCTTTGTAGCCATCCTATAATTATAGTTCATTTGTTCTCGCTGCTCTTTAAGCTCATTAAGGTACTTTAATTCCCAGTTACCTTTCAAAGGAGTGCTACCCCCAGACAGACCAAAACATGAGAAAATGTAAATAAGGACATTCATCATTTGTCTTATTTTCTAAAAGCCCCTGAGTTCAAAAGAGGTAAAGTTTAATGCTTAAGCAATGTTTTAAAAAATAACATTTACAGGCAAGTTCTGCTGTCATTCTGTGCACTGATGTGCAATGCCTTCAGGCAATTTTGACTATTCTGTTCAACAGCAAGAGGCTCAGTTTGCTCTGACCAGGTAATTACAGGTAATTCCCATTATAACAGTCATTTCAGTCCAATATCTCAATACCATGTTATAACAAAACCAGGTCAATCTTCCAGGTCATCAGTTTCGGCAGATAACCCTTCCCTTTCACTACCCAGAAGTAGGTCATTGATTAACACAGGAAGTTGGCTAGTCAATGCTCAAAGCCGGATGAACTGTAAACTCAAACCCAGGGCATCTTCTAAAGGGACCATCTTGTACTATTCAGAATATTGCTCTGCCTCCTCTGGTTGAAACAATTTATTTGAGCACTTTTTAGGTATCAGAACAGAGATCCTCATTGCCTTTGTTACATCCCTAACAACAGAAGAATGCAATTGAATCAATCTCATATGACAGTCTCATTAGTCTGCTATCTAAGCTAATATCTGGTCCACTGCACTCTAAGGCACTGCTGATAATGAACCAGCTAGCCTGGCTTATTCCATGAATCGGAGGAGTAGACCAGCCACCAGAGCCAAGAATCCTTCCTATTCAGCTCCTAGAGCCATAGAAATTTACGGCACAGAAGGCTATTCCGCCCTTCGTGTTTGTGCTGGTTCCCTTCAGAGCAATTCAGTCCCATTTACCATCCCTTTCCCCAAACCCCTGCAACTGCCTCTTTTTAAGGTATCTATCTAGTTCCTTCTTGAAGACTAAGGTGGATTTTGCTTCAAACCCCATGTGCAACAGGGAATTTCATATCCTAACTACTTCATGTTTGATAAATTCTCCTAACCAAACCATTTACTCATTTACTAACTATCTTAAATTGATGCCTTCCAGTTACTGTCACACCAACCAGTGGAAATAAGTTCTCCCGATTGATTCTATCAACCCCCATCACCATTTTAAAGCTCTCTATCAAGTCACGCCTGAACCCTTTCTTCCTGTGGAAAATGTGCCAGTTCATCCAGTCTCCCCTCATAGGCTAAACCACTGATCCCCAGTATCATCCCCCTCTATCACCTTGATGTCTTCCTAAAGCTACAAGACCAATACTGGACACAATTAATCTAATTGCAGTCAAACTAACGATTTGATCACCTGCAAGCTAAAGCCCTAAAGGAAAGGGTGGTCCTAGCTTGACAATCAACGGAAAGCTTACAGTGCTCTGCAATGGTAGGCTATATTATTTTAGATAGTTAAACTGCAGCAGTACACAGTGCACATTCTTGAGTCCCTAAGTTGTAGGAAAATCCCCATGAAAAGGAATGCTGGAATGACCTACTGAATTCAGAAATGAACTGAAGATTCAAAAGAAAACAAAATGCCAACGTAAGTAAAGATTTTGCTCTTTCAGGAAGTATTGCCCTTAGCATTATGCCATGAGTTTGTCTGACTACTTCGCGACCATATACTCCCACCCTCGCTTACCTCCAATGGCTCCCCATCCCCCAGAGGATCAAATTCAAGATCCTCATCCTCACCTACAAGGCCATTCATGGCCTTGCTCCCTCCTGCCTCTCCGACCTACCAACCCCCTACTTACCTGCCCGTATCCTCCATTCCTCTGGCTCCGGTCTGCTCCACATCCGTCGCCCTAACTGCCCTACCATCGGTGGCCAGGCTTTCAGCCTCTCAGGCCCTAGGCTCTGGAACTCCATCCCCCAATGCCTTTGTCTTGTTTCCTCCCTTTTCTCCTTCAAGGCCGGTCTCAAGACCTTTCTCCTCAACCGTGCCTTCACCTCCCCTCTCGACTCTCTACCCCCTCCTCGCTCCCTCACTTCCCTCCCCTCACCCTGACTATTTACCCCCTGCTCGGGTCCTGACCCAACTGTACAGCACCTTGGGACGTCCTCCCGACGTGAAAGGCGCTCTATAAATGCAATCTTGTTGTTGTTGTTGTTGTACTCATGCCACATATAACAGAACGTGGAACTGACAGCTATAAATGGAACCTGTTCAATGCTGATCTGATATTCCATTCAGTCAATCTGAAAGCCGCACATCACATAGAAATTTATATCACAGAAAGAGACCTTTCAGCCCATTTTCCTTGTTCAGGTTCTCTGAAAGAGCTATTCATTTAGTCCCATTTTCCCTATCTTCATAACTAAAAGGTTGATGTTGATACCTGTGCACAAAATGCATTTTCTCCAGATATGTACAGCCTTTGGAAACATCCAAGGAGATATCTAGAAGGTCAGTGACATCGAGTAAAGATCTTCGTAGCTGCATGTGAGAAAAAAAGGCTTAGGTTTATTTTGGCTCTATATTGAGGCTCTATATTGAACAGTTTTACATTACAACAAATAAGTTTGGATTGTGCCTGGCTGCTTAATACAATGGAGCATTCTTATGAGGCAGTAGTTCAGATCCATATAATGCCATTCCTCCCAATAACAAAGCTGCTGCAGCCGATCTCACTGCAGATGTGCACATCAAGTCAGCTTGCTTTCTGTGCCATGGTCAGTTCTTAAAAAAGGCCAACGTACTGTTCATCGGGTCACTGACAACATCACTTCCTGTGCACTCTCAAAGGAGGAAATAATGTCAGCAGTGACCGGATGATCTGGAAGTCAGTTATCATTCCGCAATTCGGCCTGCATGCGGGAAGCAGATAGGCTGGCTGGCTATGCACATGCACACTGATTGAGGTTCACACCCCGACCATGGTATAACCAAATCAGTACTATAAAAAATTACATTATAATGCGGCTGCACTGTGTTTGCATCACCAACCTTATTCTATTGCTATCAAATCCAATGATTTGTTTTTTGCAGCATCTCATGATCCATAAACCTGCGTGCAACTTATTTATTTATACCACTTAGAGGTTTCACTAACCATACATAAATCACAATCTAGTCTAGCCAATATACCAGGGTTTAGGCATGTTATATTTTGCCTGTCAAGCATATTTGTGAGTCTCAGCCTTGTAATGTGTAACCAATGAAGAGATATCACTGCTTTTCAAGAGGATGTCACTTACCGGGACAGTACGAGACTCTCGTAGATATGTGAGCAGGTCCCCTCCTTCCATTAGTTCCAGGATAATGTACTGAGGTTCATTCAGCAGACAAACTCCGAGGAGCCGCAGAATGTGCGGGTGATCAAACTGCCTGCAGAGTACATACAGGAAAGATATAAAACCTGGATTCACAGACCCTATAGGTTTCAAGAGTTTGGTATTGGGTAGTTACTAAAAGATGATTGATTCAAATAGACAAAACTGCAATGCATACTAGCATAAAAGGATTAATTCCACAAATAAATCAAATGAAAAGAATTAAAGTTCATTAAGCAGTCATTGTCATCCACTGTTTCATAACAGAGAGGGAAAGGGGTAAACTAACATGGCTTGTTTCATTTGAACTTTTCACTTTATTTTCTGTGTAGAAAAGCGTATCTGGCATCAGCATCTCAGCTGTTCCCAATTGGTCTTGCAAACAAAGCGAGTACATTGTTCGGTCTGAAGTAGTGTTCTCAAGACAAGGTACTACAGGACACATTTTTACATCCCATTTACTGGCTGCTTTTTTTAAAAAAAGGTAATTCTGTGCATGAATGAACACCTACTTGTTTTTAAATACCAAGTATCTAGGGCCAAACAGTCACAAAAAATGATCCATATTTGGAGCAAGGAGAAAAATAAGCTGTCAAAATAAATACTGAAAGTTGCCGCCATCCGATCTCCAATGTCCTTTCAATATGTTAAATGGAATACAGACTTCAAGAAGCCTTAGCCCTTTATAGTGCAGAGCTCTTGACAGACTAACGCAAATATTATCATTTCACTTGTTTTTGTCATAAAGCATGCCAAAGATATTTTTCTAAAATATTTGCTAAATGCTAGAAGTGTCAGTTCAGTAATCTGTTTCGCTTGATTTCCAAAAAATACAGATGTTTTAAACAATGTTACTACAGGTAAACTATAATTGAAAGGATTTTAGTGCTGAGACAATAGGTTGTATTTTTTTTTGGCTGTGTGTTTGAACAATGTATTAAGAGGACATGATGGAGCCTGGATTTTAAATAACAAACTTGGAATCTGACTCGAGTTTTGACTACTGCAACCAAAATGTTATAAATACAACAATACAAATTTATTTAGCACTTGTCACCTCGGGAGGAGGTGATGGACGGTCTAAGGTTTGACCAAATGAAGAAAGACGAAGAAATATAGCTATTCCAGTTGAGATCTGTAAACCCAGCACCTAGGAGCTGCATGGCTGTATCATCAAACCTGTGATGTTCAGCTACTCAAAGAGAAAACTCACTGAGACATCAGTGGGTAAAGCTACAACTCAGCAGTAACCGGGTGGAAATTACAACCCTTAAATTGTTAATTAAAGCTGGTGATCACCAGTCAATTATTAAAGACTGGTCGTGGGTATGATCTCTTCCCCCGCCCGCAACACACTCTATGACATATTGGTTACACTAAAATTTACCATGCTGCCATTGGACACCCCTACTGCAGTTTGCATGGCATTATTGTGTGTAAAGTGTCTGCATGTTCATTTCAAAAGGAAATGCTACACTTCAAAGGAAATCCTGTGAAGCACTTTGAGAAGTCTTCCTAATTTGCTTTCATCACATCCAGGCTAGACTACCACAATTCTCTGCTCACCGAGTCTCCCAACTCCCCTCCACAAATTGCAAACCATCCAGAACTCTGCAGCTTGTGTCCTCTCCTGCACAAGGGTGAGCCTATCATCCCCATCCTTGCCTGACTTTACTGGCTCTCCATCCCCAGAGGATTGAGTTTAAGATCCTTTCTCTCACTTTATATCCCTCTACGGTCTTCCCCATCCTGTCACTGCAACCTTCGAAAACTCTACCAATCCCCAAATTTAAAATATTCTTTATCAAACATTCCCTTTTATGTTTTTTGGAATCACCTTAAATTTGTATGGTTTCACTACTCACTGACCAGTAAAAAGAATCTGCTGTTATCTACTCTAACATAACTCTTCATAACCGTGAAGACCTCTGTGAAATCACTCCAAATCTTCTCAGCACCAGTGAAAAAAGTCTAACTTTTTTAATACAGTGCCCAAACTGTACCTAATATTCCAATTATAGCTTAAACAAGGTTGTATCAAACTCAATATTATAATAATAATCCTTGTATTTCATATTATGCCTTATCGTGTTATCAAGATATCTCAAAGCGCTTCAGAGGATATACTGTAAAGTGACATGACTGTGTATTTTGAGGGTGAAATGCAGCAGCTAATTTGTACACAGCAATGTCCAAACAGCTAGAGTGAGTGACCATTTTTATTTGGTAGATTATTGGCAGTTTACCAGGAGAAACTCTTTTCGAATAGTGCTACGGGATCCTTAACGTCCACCTGAACAGATAGATGAGACTCAATTTAATGTTATCATCTAAAGGACAGCACCATCGACAATGCAACACACCCCAGCACTAGACTGGTGTCAGCAGACTATATGAATGTCTCCAGATTCCAATATGGGGCTTGAACCCACAATCTTCGGATTCACAGGCAAGAAGAAATACAAACTGAGGCAGGCTGACACACATATTACTGTGTAAAGGCGTGCTTTTTCACTCTTCATCTTCGGTTTCAGAGTGTACAAATGTCAAGAGAGCACAAGGTAAAACGTTCAGATGAAAGACATTCCCTCACAGGGCCGCAGCCCTCATTCGGGTGTCAAGAACGGAGGCATGCTGGTAATGGAGCCACTTTTACCTCATCAAGTGTGCTTCCTTCAGGAATTCAGACTTTTCATGGTCTGTGGCACCTTTCTTCAGGGTCTGCTCAAAACAAAGACAAAACAAGTATTTGGTAGCTGCTTTATCACTGTCAGTGCTATCCCTAAAGTAATAATACGGGCACAGCAACTTACCAGACCCACTAGCCATCCATGGATACCTTAAACAAGAGGTACTTGGTTCAATGCACAAGAGGCTACCCAGGTTTTCAAACTACAGACCTGCTAGGCACAAGCGTGTAAAGCATCTTTCTAAGCTAGTTGTTTTGACATGAGCACTATTGTTTGTTGCCAGCTGTCCCTGTCTGTATGTGAAAATGGGAACAATGTTTCAGTGTAATGTTACACTGGCTGAACAGGCTAAAATTCAGACATTCAAATCCCCATCTTAAATTAGTAAACAGGGAAAGGGGAAGGAAAGGGAATGAAAGGAAACATTAAACATACATGCCGCTGAAACCTTTGTCCTGTGGGCAATCTGTTTAAATTTGTTAAAATGCTTTCTTCCATTTGTGGGTGCAGGCAGTGTAAGACCGAATGGAACGGGATTATCTAGACAGCTAAAATTAACAGAGTGATTATCCTGAACACGACAGTTTTAAAAAAAACATTTTAACAATGAAAGCTGGGAACACGGAAGCTCTAGTAAGTTTTCAGACCCACAAGTATGTTGTGTGTTGCAGCCTACTCCATTTACCATTTATCAAAATCATTTATCAGGAGAAAAGTCACTTAGGTCAGTTGGCAGCACTCTCGCCTCAGGGTCAGAAGGCATTGAGTTCACACCCCACTGGCTGATCACTGCAGTGGGGAGTGCTGCAATGTCAGAATTGCCACCCTTCATTAAACCAAGGTCTTGCTTGTCTGTTTAAATGGACACTAGACACCAAGGATTCCATGACACTATTTGAAATACACTATCTTATGTCTAACAATACACCAGTTTAATTGATTACACACAAATTTGTTAGGACCTTGCTGGCACAAAGGTTGCCCATTTGCACCCACTTGTTATTGGGTAGAAAAAATTCTCTCTGGGCAGAAAAACCTGCCAGGTAACTCACTAAGGCCCACTTCACATACCTTGACAGCCACTTTGCTTTCTCCACTTCCTTCACCCAGGATGTCCACTGCATTCCCTTCATATACCTCTCCAAAAGCTCCACTCCCCAGGAAACGACTCAGACTCAGCTTCGCTCGAGGAAATTCCGGTAAATTACCAATTTCACTCTGGGAAGGAAGGGTGCTGGAAAATAATAATATGGCATACAAATCACGTTACATACATGCTGACCTGGAGAGAGACTATCACAATTAGGTGAGATAGTGTCAAAAACGTAGGGGTGGAAATTGTACCCTATGATATATTAATTAACACCAGCGTTAATTGACACCTTGTATTATCACCAGTGTTAATTCATGTGTGCTTGAAATGAGATATGAATTTTGGACCATTGCCACGAAATCCAGAAGGACAGACATTCTTGAAGCTAGATTTGTCAGCCTTAGTTTAACAGTAAAATATGCTTTGAGATGTCCTTCCAATGTGAAAGGCACTATATATGTGAATTGTATTGTAAAGATAAACTATGAATGTACCTGATTGCATAGCAGCCATTTGATAATCCTACTAATGTCATCCCTCTAATACGGGCAAGCTCTGCATCCGGCTTGAAGACAGTGGTGACCTCATTTGCTTGAGGTATTTTATTTTGATGTTTCCGATACCAACCTAGGAAGAGAAATGGAAATGAGATTATCGCCACTCAGGGAGAAGCAGAGTCCATGGGTCAAGACTGACCAACAAGGTCAACTCTGGGCCAACACTACATTCTAGGCCTGATATTCCATTTAATCTTTAGCCTGTGAGACCGTTTTGTCTTAAAGTTTTAGATTGTGAAGAATTGTGAAAAGTTCTTAAATTCAGTTTTAATTTGGAAGCTGGAGAAAACTGGCTCCCAAATAGACTCAATTGAAACATTCTCCCAAAAAATTATGGGTAATCGTAAATATTAAAACAAAATGGTTTTACAAGCCTAAGACTATATGGACAGTCATATGAAATCACAGAGATTTTGATGGCTGAACCAAAGGCTCCCCATTGAAGCCCAATGTTGGAAAGCTTCATCACAAACACCAATGAGACAATTTGCAGCAAACAGGGTTAGAAAGGAAGGCATAACCAGACCAGAGACAGAGTAACAATATAGAAACTGCCAGGGCGTTACAAAAAAAATTAGATATGTTATAGTCAATTAAAATGATTCAGTGATAGATTGCAATTCACCAGCAAAAGTGCTAGAGACATAAACAGGTTTTCTCCAGAGATGGCGCAGAAATGAACCGAAGTCTCATGGCTCCATGTGCCACACAGGGGATTAGATAAAATGCTGCTTACAACAGTCGTGTTTACCTGAAAACATACACCTGTTAAGAGTGTTTTTTAAAAAGCATAGAATGTATCTTGTGGGAAACGGGATGCATTGACATTGGAATTGTTAGTATGCAGGATAAAATTGTGATATTCCTGAACACATTTTGTTCTTTAATTATAGCCACTGGTGAGAATAAGTTCATTAAGGAATTTCATATTTTGACCTCCATGTTTCCTTTACTATATAACTGGTATTTTTTGTGGCCCATTTCATTTTGCTACATTAGCTGCTGGAAGTTTTTGGGCAAAATGAAATGAGCCATGAAAAATAAACAGATACATAGATCACAAGTGGGACAGGCAGTGGTTGGGTGAAAATATATGTTGAGTGAAAGCACGTTAAGAGTCATGCCCATTCTGCAAATTAAATGGGTTTACAGCATAGGATGAAGTATGAATGAAAATATCAATATCACATCAAATATCATATTTTTCACCTCACTGACTTCAATATTAGGGAGAGAAAACACAGTTGGGTTCTTCCTGCTAATTATCACTTCATCACTCGATCATCTCTTTTGAAGGTGCGTGTGTGTATGGTTATTGGGTGGGGACAGAATTGGGCTGGGCCAGTCTGATGTTATTTCTAAATAGAGTTTCTTAAAGCATGCAGTGCGCATTGGTAATTTACTCACGTACTTATCCCAGTCCTGCATTCTTTCAGGTTACCCAGATCAACAAGAAGTGACAATTGATTTCATTGTTCCTGTCACTGTGCTGTATCCACCCCTGGACCATAAAAGGAAGCACCCCCCACCACCCCACCCCCCTGCCCCACCACCACAGCGGATTCAATAGAATGTTTCTAGTGAGGAACCAGTGCATAATAAATAATAATAATATGCATCAAACTAAGGTCACAGCTCACGAGTTGCACCCACAAAATAAGAACAAAGAGTGTTCATCACATTTCCAACAGCAGACATTTCAAGGAATAGCTACGTCCCTAGGAAATTTCAGTTTGATATTCAATCACTTTTACATCACCACAAAACACACAGTGCTTTGGGACATCCTCGAGACCTGTAAGGCACTACACCAAATTGCAAGGATTATTATTACTATTAGGATCACTTACCACAACTAAACCCAACCACTGCGACTAGGAAAACACAGGACACCACAGTGACAGCAATCCCGGCCTCACTTAGTAATGCATTTCCTCCATCTGAAACAAAAGGAAGAGATAAAATGATGACAAAACCCAAATTGAAGTGGGAGCTGTCATCTATGCAATCTTTTCAAAGGCATTGATGTTGAATATGCAGTGGTTTATAACAGGATTCCTTAATAAGGAAACTGGAAGCATATCACGCCGAATCATAAGATCCTTAATCTAATTGCCTGTTGTTGATATGAGCTCTGAAACTCAAGTGTGCATTCAATCTGATCTCAGATACAATCAGCAGATCTGCAAGATTGAACACAAGGAAAAATAACCAAATCAGGATAGGACGGACTATCATTATTCTTTCCAGTGTTCATAAGGGAGTTGTAAATAGGATGTGATAAAAAAGAAGTGCAATGATCAGGACAATCTATAATTTCTTGTACAATCATTGGAGATCAAACCACAGCACTAGTTGTATGGATGTATATTCTGTGGATCTAATATTTAAGTATAATAGATGCATATTCTACATTGGGTGATGGATCATCTTAAACATTCCTAGGGATTGTTTACATTCCCATAAGTCCTTTCCAGCTTTTGGTTTTGATGTAATTAGCTTACAAGAAAAATAAATAAATTACAGGACAACCTAGTTATTAATCACTGCATTAAACCACAGGTCTACTTTTAATGCAGGGGCCTTTTGAATACATTGTGGTACAGCTTCCTGAACTGAAATATGACTGACTTCTAGATCGCCGCAGGTTCATTTCCTTTGTTTTGCTCATTCACACAGGAAGCGCAGCTAATATCACAACCTATGCATTACACATGCATGCACATTGCAGGAAGTGCCTCTGATGTTATTTTGCAAAGAAAATGGCATAAATGGGGACGTGATAGTAGGCCATTTTTCATTAAACACCAGAGATATTAGACCCTGGCAATTGCATTATAACAGGGTTACCCCGGATATGGTTGGTTATAAACATTAATATAATAAATGTAAAACAAAACCAATATATTAGAAATGTGATTCATCCCCAAAGAAAGGAATAGATTTACAAAGGATTGTAAATATTGAATCCTGCCAGGATATGCAGTATGCAGATCCACTGGAGCTCTGGAAGTTAATCACATAACAGCTTCTAGTGATGAGCATGAATCATTTCCTATTACCGGTCAAGGCTTGATATTGATCTAGGTTGCAATTTCCACACTTCAGACCCTAATGTGTTTGTAGTACTGAGGTTTGATTTTAAAAATAAGTTACTTTAGCCAATGGCGAGGTGGCACAACATTTAAGTGTTGCAGCATCCTGGAAGTCATTTGCACACCTGAATTCTCAGTCTATTTTAGTGATGCTCTCTTTCAGCCAGAAAAATTTCTTCCCTGCCTACAATGGCTAGACGAAGAGCAGCCAATTCTTCAAGCAGGAGCTCCAATGAGTGTTGTTTGGCTGTGGTATCAGAGAAGGAATAGTTTGTGCTGCAGGGGGATGGCAAAGACAGCAAAGGTGGGGAAAATAGAACTAAAAACAAAACTGAAAACACCAAATAAAAATAAAAAGACTTCAATTGCACAACATAATTAACCATGTTCATATTTGGGTGCAATATTTGCAATATTTGTAAACTGAATTCAATGCATTGATTGAAACTTCCTATTGCAAGTATTAAAAAGCTTTTTAATTTATGATATTCACAAAACTGGAATTACCCCCCAAAAGTGTGGACAACACAGTTAAATGTGGCTGGAAAACATCACAGATTTGATCCTATTACAGTAGAAATGAAACAATTGAACTTCCACAGTGAAAAAAAAGTGAAAATCTTTTCAATTTTTACAAAAGAATATGCAAACATCTTACTTTAAACTGAAAACTAAGGAGCCCTTCGCTCAGATTGACTGAATGCAAGTTATACTGCCTCAGCTCTCCCTGACCTGTTGCAACATGCAGAAATCAGTCTTTGAAACCAAGCACTGACCTTTTAGAGTAATTTCCTTGCTGACGTCACTGTACTCCCCAATCCCAATTGCATTTGAGGCCGCCACTCGGAACAGGAATGCTCCTTTCAGATCCTCCGCCTTCCAGGTGCAGAGCCTGGTGTTGCAGGAGCTGTTCCACACCACTTCCCATGGCTCTGATGCACTCATATTTCCCCCAGACACTTTATTTATGTCAGACTTCCTGTGGATTGATTGTCAAAACAGGAGAGATAGAAATCTTTCTGCTTCACTTTAACACGCTTTTGCACAATTAGGAAGTTGAGAGCCAAGGTCACGGCTCAGGTGATGAGAGGACTAGACCTTTCATGGATTTCTTACATTTCTCAGACACAAGTTGTTAACTCAGAGCTGAGAATCTGAAAACCTTGGAATTAAATGAGACAATACATTTTACGACAAGTGCGTGAATAAATTATGCAACATTTTTTAAAAATTGCATTGGGTAATGATACGCTCTCCTAGTTCTCTGGCTTTCATTGTTACCAGTGTGGGCAAAATGTGTTAACCTGAAATTTACTAACCATCAGCGGTCGACCTATTAGCCTTAGCCTTATACCAAAACTTCTTCACACCGCTTCACTTCAATCATGCCTTTCCAAGGTATTGGGGAAAGGGAAAAGTGGCCAAGATGTTTTTCAACTGAATTGGATTTAGATCTTTTTAAGACCATTTCTTTAAGGCACGATCATTAAGACAAAGAAGTTCACCATTTCAGGCAGAGTGCTGCTGGTGAAATGCTAAAAGTTTTACCACCAACAGCACATAATAACCAGTGTGGTGGTGTTGATAACTGGATCTGATGCGTTTGAAGCACTTTCTTTGATGAAAGCATTCTCTAGAAAGCTTCCATCATCTGATACTAATGCTCTTTAAGGAATATAAAGGCAAACAATAATGGCCATTTGTAATGCCCAAAGCTGAAGGCAACATTTTCTTTTATAGCCTCACATTTCCAGTCTCCCTATACCTGAATTTCAGCGTATACAGACCAGCATACCTTTTCCCCTATTTGGGGCATACAATAATGTGAAGTTTCTGACCTCTAGGGGCACCGGCCTCTATTCTATTATTCTCTGATATCAATTAGCAGGTAATGGTGACAGCTATTTGCTCACATGCCTCTTTATTCAATTGTGTTTAGCATTTCAAGAGAAAAATAAAACCGTACTCGACCCCAAGGCAGGTCACAACGCTCTCTTTTGTATTTTATTGAACCACAAAATCCACTGTAAAGCTTTTCTTGCTAAAATCACGTGTGCTATTCTACTTTGTTGGTTATATATCAACAGGTTACCTGACTTCCAGTATGTAGTAGGTTATGTTACTGCCATTGTCATCCCCCTTTTCCCAGCTCACACTTTTCCCATTTTCCTCAAACTGTTGCGGTGTCCCCGGCTTACCTGGAACTCCAGCTTGAAAATAAATTGTAGAAATGAGTGAAAATCATGTCTTCCACTATACTCTTACATCTCCACAGTTACACAAGAAATCTTACATTACATGTGAAATCCTAATGCAGCAACAGTGCAGCTCACCAACAAACATAAATTCAGTTGCTAAAAAAAAAGCTTATTTTCTATTGATTTAAATCCATATAGTGGAAAAAATTGGTTATATTTTAAAATTGGTTATATTTGACCAAAATTTCAGTCAAAATAGTTCATTGTTATCACTGAAAGGGGGGGTGGGGTGGGGGAGGAGAGGAAGAACTTTATCCTCAAGGCCAGTTATTAAGGCCAGATTATAAACTAGTGTCAACTTGGTTCAGTTGTAAGCACTCTTGCCTCTAGGTCAAAACATTCTGGGTTGAAATGCTGTATTGGGATTTGATATCACGGTTGAAGTCCTCCAGTTCACTAAAGTGAAGTCCTGTCTGCCTGTTTTACTTTGAATGGCCATTCACATTAGGAGCATTGATACTGCCCAATTCTCCATTGGTTGTGACTGGTCTCCTCCAGGTAAACCCATTTTCCACTGATCTCTTAAAAAGGTGAACATGAGCCCATAATTTGTTAAACCAAAGGCTAAACAAGTTTTAGGCTACTCTGGACTTCACCTTTTATTCTTTTACCCATTTCCTTCTCTCAAAAGGTGTCTTGACATGATATGCATTCTTGGGATTGCTGCTGCCAAAAGTGCTGGACAGAATTATTTTTCTGTCAGCTACTTGAAAATGAATTTCCATAGATGTTATTGCAGCTTCCTATTAAACCAGACATGTACAGCTTCCAAAGAAGGACACTGAAGGAGGTGCTAACTTAATGGGCAATCATTTTCAATGGTGAGGGACAGAGACAGAGGAAAAATCAAAGGCTACTTTACTAAAAAGCATATATTCCAGCTTATGTTTTATAAGATGTGCAGTATTGCATTAGTGTTAGGATCTTGCAGCCCATGATTTCAGCTGGTTGATTGAAACAGAAGCTGTTCTGAGCAATATAGTGCACTGAAAATCATACTCAAGATCTCTGAGCTGTTGTCCGACGCATTTCCTTTAATCACTGTACTAATCTGGACCTCTGACTAGTAAAGTTACTATGGCAACTCAGATGTACCTAATGTTTTGAAGGTATCTTGCTTTGAGACACTCTCTGCCCCCGTGTGGTAGATCACCATTACTCGTACTTGATAGACCCGAGCAGGCTGGAGCCCAGAGAGACAGCAGACAAAATCAGGCCCTTCACTGCATGAAACATTTGGTGTTTTCCAAATGGTTCTTGGCACAAACTGAAAGAGAATAGAATATCATTATAAATGATATGTTATAGTTGTTTCAACTGTGATTTGACGTTTTCAAAGAAAATTTAACAAAAATGTGTTCTTTACAGAAATGGCTATTTATTGTTGAGTGGCTGGAATGAAGTCAATGAGAGGATAGGATGGGAGAGGAAAAAGCAGGCTTGTTTCTTCACATAGTTCTCTAATTGAAGAAATGTGAAATGGGCTGGATCCGAATCTTGTGTGGGCAGAATGATTTGAGATATTTAAACAAATTAAATAGATATCTGTGGAGAATGGTCATTAAGGGTTAAGGAGAAAAAGGCAAAAAAAGGAATTAAAATATATGTCACAATCTAATAAGGTGGCAGAGCAGGCTTCATGAGCTGAATGGCTCCATGTTTCTATATTCTTATGATGGACCAAATTGCGTTTCTTCCTTCCTCATTTTCTTCTATACTTTAAAGTCCTCTTCATTTATACTGCTGGAAATCTTCACATTTTAAAACTGGTGATGAGCATCACTCCAGTACTGATTTCAAGCAAAATATTACAATAAAACAAGGATCTTCATGTGTATTATAAATCAAAATTGCAGTTATGGCACTAAAAAGGACAGAAAAAATTCAAGTCACATTATAGAGTGAAAATGGTGAGATGTTATGTGATAATCATGACCAGTGACTTATAGGAACTCCAGCACAATCTACATTCAGGATTCCCATGAGTTGTCGTGAGTGAGTGATGATGTGAGTGATGTGATTGAAGTATAGCTGAGAACCAACTTTGAACTGGATGCATTTTAAACACCACTAACCCTGTCAGGATCTGGCAAAGCTCAATCTAACTGTGCTTAAAGAAGTCACCGTTATGGAGACAGACCAACCAATTTACCACTCACTAACCTTGAGTTAGGGTGGTCAACAAATACAGTCAAATTGCATCAACTAGCATTCCAACCTCCTCCTCACCCCCCACCAAAAAAAAGTAAGCAAACACATTTGCATTTAACCCAACAAAACAATGATTTAAGCATATCTAAATAAAGACAGGAAAACAGGAACAGTAGGAGGCCATTCAGCCCATTAAGCCTATTCCACCAGTTTATTACTCATGCTGGTTTCTATTCAGTTAATGCTAAATTCTTCTGTACTATCATAAATTGTCATTAAATGAAATAATCAGTACAGTGTATAGGGGCCCCAAATGCAACATGTGATTGATAGTCCTGTAGCATATTGGTTAAAGCACTCGCCTCTCAAGCGAGTGGACCTGGGTTCAATTCCCGGGCAAGGCGAAATGTTAAGCAAGTTTACTCCACACTCCTCTGTTTACCTAGAAATAATTAGGAACCCAGTTGTTAGTCAATTGCCAGATCGCTTTTCCGGAGGTAATAATCCCTTTAAAAAATATATTTTTTAAAATTACTTGGTCACTTATTCCACGACTGTTTGTGGGATACCGTTGTATGCAATTGGCTGCCACATTTCGTCCACGAAGCATACAGTCAATTCACTTTACATTATATTCTGTGAAGCCCTTTGAGACATGTCAAAGACATGATAAGGTGCTATATCAAATGCAAGGATTATTATTATTATTGTTATTGATAATTGCACTAGTGATCAATATCAAATCGCTGAAAAATACAGTCAGTCTAGTGGATAGTTATCTGCTATGTGCACAACCCCTGATTTGGTTTGGTTTGGCCCGAAGCTTTCTACAGCCACAATTGTTGTTGTCACCCACGGAATGCAGCATTGATCGCTTCTTAGCTCTGATTAAGTTAAGCTGGTATCCAGTGACATGATACTAAAGCACTAATGCCTGGCAGGGGAAAAGTTCTTACATCTGAAACCAGCCAAGTGTGAACACAATTGTTGGCAGCATGATACTTATCACATTACATTTCCAACCGTAGACAAAGTTTGATTGATTTATTGACCATTTAATACCTCTCTAAGTTCAAATTCGAAGCGCCTTGTGCTGTTGTCACTGGGAGCTTCCCATTTTACTTGTACCGTTGTATTCTCAAGTGAGATATGGAAAGGTGCTGAGGGGCACTCAAAGGTTTTAATGTAGACTGGTTCACTAACACTGAACCAGTCATAATCTGGATGGAAAGCAAGGACCTAAAATGAAAGCAGATAGAAATTTATGCAAAGTATAAAGTTACAAAATAACTTCATGACATTCACTGAATTAAATGTGCCAGGTATTTGTAGGATATCACAACCCTTCTTTAGCAAAGTGATAGATTTCAATATTTACTCACCAGCGGAATCCTAAACCAAAAGGTGTAAATTAAAGGGGTTATTCTCCGCTTCTCATTATGTGTACCAACGTTTAGCACCAACTGAATATTACTCAGCAGTCTGCACTTTTAATGGGATAAGCATGCCAAAGGTCAGTAAATTTACAGATATTACTGTAAATTACGGCATTGCTTGCCGTTTTGGCAATGTTGTCAAAAAGCAGAGAATTATCCCCCCACATCCCACCAATGCTCACCAATTTCGATTAAAATATGTTTGAGATCAACTATTTCTTAAGAATTATGCCATGCAAATAAATATTTCATCAAACTTACCATATTAAATAGATTCAATGATACCACATTTAATTTGGACTTACCATGACACTGTAGAGAGTACCACCTTTGGCATTAGTTAGAGATAGTGCAAGCTTCCCTTCAGCGAGTTCACTTTTTGTCAGTGGAGTTGATGGGTACAGTTTATGGAAAGGCCCTTTAATCTGATAGCGCACTCTCTCAATAGGTCCATTGGGTTGAGATGGTTCAGTCCAGAGCACATCAAATACTTTGTTAGAAATGACATTCACTGTCACATTGCTGACTGCTTCTGGCACTGAAATGAAACGTAAAATAAAATGAGAGTGAGGGCATGAGATTCAATCTTGAGAGAAGACCATTCAGAGGGGACCTCATAGAGGTATATAGAATTTAACCATTTGCTTAATGGTATTGAACAAAGTAAACCCAGATCAATACTTTAGCATGAATCAAGACAAGAGGACATAGGTTTAGAGCTGTAATTTCAGGACAAATAATAATAATAATAATAATAATCCTTGCATTTGATATAACGCTTTTCACGTCGGGAGAACGTCCCAATTTCAGGACAGATACCGATTAGCCTTTCGTTATGCAGGAGGTAATTAATGATTGGAACAAGTTGCCAGGGAAGGTGATAGAGGCCAGGACACTAGACTCATTTAAAAGCAGGTTGGTCCAAGAATGGGGGAATGGCAGGGTGTGTGTCCTGGAGGAATTACTTCATATTGGTCTTCATCCAAACCAATCTTGTGAAAAACAATATTCCTCTGGAATATGTTCACCAATGGCTGGAATGTTTAGTTTTGTCGATTATAAATATTGTCAAGTTGTATGAATGATCTTTACACACTGGTCTAATTACTGTATTCCTCAAATGCAGAAATGAGCAAAATTGACATGAAAACATTACATAAAAGATTCATCCACTGAGCAAAGTTATTTCCATATTTTTCATATGATATGAAAAATGATTTGTTCTCACATTTCTGCAATTCCCGTTTTTGAATTGACCAGTAAGAGAGTCCAAACCTTCAGTATCTACCTCGCCTTGAAGAAGAATTTTGCTTCTGGTCAGTGTTTCACCTTTGATTGTTTTTTTTCTGAGATAGGAAACTTGTCACATGAAGACTCTTATAGTCTCACCAATAATAATAATAATTCTTGAATTTGATATAGCGCCTTATCATGTCTTCAGGACATTGCAAAGCGCTTCACAGAATATACTGTAAAGTGACTTAACTGTACATTTTGTGGGAGAAACACAGCAGCCAAATTGGACTCACCAATAAAAAAAGAGTCTGCCTTCAATAATTATGTGGCTTGTGCTAGAGTTGTTTATTGGCCACTATGGATTTTGATAATTTTTTCAGTGTTTGCAATTTTTCCTTTTACCCATAAACTAACTACCCTTTGTTAAAGGCCATCGATACATTAAAATGCCTCACTGCTGGATTGAATACATTTTACTACACCATAAATGATAGATGAGTATGTTGCCTTCGTTCCTCCGGGTCTGGCCTCTTCCTCGTCCCGAGTCCTCCGTTCCACCCTCGGCAGCCGTGCCATCAGCCACTACGCCCCGAGGCTCTGGAACTCCCTTACTCACTCCCTTCGCCGCGCTCCCTCCCTTCCCATTTTCAGGTTTCTGCGGAAAACCTTTCTTTTCGTCCGCGCCTTTGGTCACCTTCCTCCCCCTGGCTCGGTCCCAGGATCCATTACTGTAAAGCGCTCTGAGACGCCATCCGGCGTGGAAGGCTCTATATAAATCCAAGTTGTTGTTGTTGTTGAAAACATACCTCCATAGTCAGTCATAGCAATGACTGCATCACCCAGCTTGTGAGGAAAGCCACCATAATAGTTTGTCGCAGCTGCTTGTATTAAATACGCACTGTAGGGCTGCAATCCTTTCAAATGGATGAGTGTGTCTTGAACCTCCTTTAAATTAAACAAATTCCTTAACAATATATGGACAACAACAAAAAATTGCATTTATATAGCGCCCTTTACGAGGGGCAGCGTCCCAGAGCGCTTGTATACTTTGATATTCCAACAATAATCTCACTAATCTCATACTGTATAAATGGCTGAGGTTGAAGAAATAAAACTATCTCAGAAAACTATAATTCCATCTCATTTCATAATGTAAATTAATATTAAAAATAATGTAAATGTTTATTAATATTTATTTGATTCGCTTTATTACAGGAAGATGGCTCAAAGTGCAGTCAAATAAGGTTAGTTCAATTATAAGTTTGGAGAGAACAAAATGTACATGTCCTAACTAAATGTATATAATTTAATCACATTCAACTTAATTATTTTTAAAAGACTTACTAATTGTTAAAGAATATGTACCAACTATTTCTTGCTGATAAAATAATACTTACATATGCAATGCAGTTCAGAACACTTGAACAGTTGAATGTGTCATTGCTGCCTTGCATCTTCCTGTAGTACACCAGGAATGTGGACCTGGGAATGCTGATACCAGGACAGAGCATCTCAGTGTGACTGGGAGGTAGGTTGATTGTAACACTAGTATTAGAAACACTAACAATGCTGGGAAGTTCAGTGTATGGAGACGGAACCAGACAAGCTATATCTGTTAAAAGGAAAAGCAGAACATTCAATACTGTTTGATTGCAATTATGAATTATATTGGCGTGCACAGTAATTGTAGTATTTGTCCTCTGATCTTTTGTCCAACATGATCATTCTCAAGGTGTTCACATTGAGGTATTACTAAAGTGGCTTGCAATTTTTCATTTCATTTTTTCCTTCTCTCTTTAAACTTCAGTTTGAGTCATGCATAATTCCCTAGTTGTAAGGGCAGATCATAGATTATCCCATAGTCAATGACAGTCTTGAACAGCCACGAGGAGTCTCCAATGATGTTCATCTGAGATTTAGTAGTTTATTCCCCAAGGGAGAATACCTGACTTGTTCTCAACATATTGTGTCTATCCAGAGCCAAGATTGTGAACTTGCCATGCAGGAAATCAAATCATAAGACCGTAAGATTTAGGAGCAGGAGTAGGCCATTCGGCCCCTCGAGCCTGCCCCGCCATTTAATAAGATCATGGCTGATCTTCTAGCCTAATTCCATTTACCCACCCTATCCCCATATCCCCTAATCCCTCTATCCTTCAGAAATCTATCAACCTCAGTCTTGAATATGTTCAAGGATTAAGCATCCACAGGCTTCTGGGGTAGAGAATTCCACAAATTCACTACCCTCTGAGTGAAAAAATGTTTCCTCAACTCAGTTCGAAAAGGCTGACCCTTAATCTTGAGACTATGACCCCTAGTTTTAGATTCTCCATCCAGGAGAAAGTCTCATGGCATCTACCCGTGAGACTGTTAAGAATCTTATAGGTTTCTTATAGATTTTTATAAGATCACCTCTAATTCTTCTATATTCTAGAGAATATAGGCGTAGTTTACTCAACCTATCCTCATAGGTCAAATCCCCTCATCCCAGGAACCAAGTAGTGGACCTATGCTGCACCTCCTCTAAGACGAGTATGTTCTTTCTTAAATAAGGAAACCAAAACTGCACACAATATTCTAGATTCGGTCTCACAAAGACCTTATACAACTGCAGCAAGACTTCCCTACTCTTGTACACTAACCCTTTGGCAACGCCAACATGGCATTAACCTTCCTAGTTGCTTGCTGTACCTGCATACAAACTTTTTGTGACTGGTGAACACTAACACTACCTAGTCTCTTCCCCCTCTAAAAAATAATCTGCTTTTCTATTTTTACTACCAAGGTGAATAACTTCAAACTTCCCCACGTTATACTCCATCTGCCACCTTCTTGCCTACTCACCTAGCCTGTCTATTTCCCTTTGCATGTTTCATGTGTCATCCTCACAGCTTACTCTCCCACCTATCTTCATATCGTCTGCGAATTTAGATATATTAAGTTCTATTTCTTCATCTAAATCATTAATATAGACTGTAAATAATTGAGGTCCAAGCACTGATCCTTGTGGCACTCCACTAGTCACATCCTGCCAATCTGAGAAGGACCCGTTTATCCCTACTCTCTGTTTTCTTCCTGTTGACCACTCTAATCCATGCTTATATATTGCCTTTAATTCCATGGGCTCTAATCATATGCAACAGCCTTTTATGTGGGACATTGTCGAATGCCTTCTGGAAATCAAATTACACCACATCTAACTGGTCCGCCCCATCTCACCTGATAGTTACGTCCTCAAAAATTACTGTAAGATTTGTTAAACATGATTTCCCTTTCGTAAAGCCATGTTGACTCATGTTATGATTTTCTAAGTACCCCACAACAACATCCCTAATTAAGGACTCCAGAATTTTCCCGACCACCGATGTCAGACTAACTGGTCTATAGTTCCCCATTTTTTGTCTCCCACCCTTCTTAAATATCGGCCTTACGTTTGCGATCTTCCAATCACTGGGAACCATTCCAGAATCCAGGGAACTTTGGAAGATCAAAAACAAACATGCACGATCTCTGCAGCCACCTCTTTTAAAACTCTAGGATGCAGGCCGTCAGGTCCAGGGTAATTATTGTCTTTTCATCCTATCAATTTCTCTCGTACTATTGCTTTACTGATGTTCATTTCTTTGAATTCCTCACTAACATTAGCCTCCAGGTTCCCCTCTATTTTTGGTAAGTTTTCAGTGTCCTCTAACATGAAGGCAGAAGCAAAATATTTATTTAATGACTCTGCCATTTCTTTATCCCCATTATCATTTTTCCTGTCTCTGCCTTCAATGGACCAACATTCACTTTTGATAGTCTCTTCCTCTTTATGTACTTGTAAAACCTCTTACAATCTGTCTTTATGTTCCTAGCTAGTTTACCCTCATATTCCATTTTCTCCCTCTTAATCAGTTTCTTCGTTTTCCTTTGCTGTTCTTTGAAGCCCTCCCAATCCTCAGGTTTACTGCTCTTTTTGGCAGTATTATAGGGCTCTTCTTTTAATTTTATACTTTGCTTAACTTCTCTAGTTAGCCAAGGTTGAACCACTTTTCCCGTGGTATTTTTATTTTTCAAGTGAATATGTGATTGCTGGGAATAATGTATTATATCTTTAAACCTTTGCCAAATCATAACTGTGAACCCTAATTTAAGCATAGTTTATGATAAGCTATTATCATGAGGTCTCATGATGAACTAGTTTTACAAATATCCTGAGGAATTTAATCCCAAATCTTTGGTAACTGAAATGTACTGCAATTGTGCCAATCTATAGGTGTGGGTCAATTCAGGAAAACTGCATCATTGAAATTTCCACAGTAAAGATACACAAACTGGGTAACTAAACATTTGGTTTATTCCAATTTTAGAAAGTATGTCCATTGCCATGCACATTAAGTAACTTGCCCCTGGTGAAGAGAGTTGTCATGCAGTTGTTCTGCACAATGATACACAGAATACATTTCTAACAAAAGATTTTAAACAATACATTTTCAAACAAAAATAAATCAAGCTTTTACATTTCAGCTTTAAAGCTTTTCATTATTCTTAAGAAACCTTATAACATTCACAAGGCCATTCGCATGGTTAAAATGGGCAACATCTTATTAATCTCTAAATGCTAATTCAGTTTCTTTTGGCAACTTGATCAAGGGGGGCAATACATACCTTCATTACATCCAGGCTCGACTATGCCAACTCCCTGCTTGTCTGCCTTCCCAATGCTTCCCTCCACAAGCTGCGGATCATCTAGAAATCTGCAGCTCATGTCCACTCCCGAAACAGGCTCCGTGACCCCATCACACTCACTCTGGCTCGGTTCCACTGGCTCCCCATCCCTCAGAGGGTTAAGTTCAAAATTCTTGTCCTCACCTTCAAGGTCCTCCATGGCCTTGCCTCCTCCTATCTCTCCGACCAGCTAACCCCTTATTTGTTCACTCCCTCCGCTCAGCAGGCTCCAGCCTGCTCCATGCCCCCCACCACCATCGTTGGTCGGGCCTTAACGTCCCTGGCCCCACCCTCTGGAACTCCATCCACATTCCTTTGCTTCGCTCCCTCCCTTGCCTCGTTCAAGGCCCGCCTCAAGACCCTTCTCTTCAACCATGCCTTCGGCCACCCTCCGCCCACAATCCTCCCTGATTCTAACCACCCACCCTATCCCCGCTTGGGTCGTAACCACTGATTGTTCAGTGCCTTGGGACATCCTCCCCACGTGAAAGGCACTTTACAAATGTAATTTGCATGGAACTGGAAGACATGTATTAAGTTAGCATTTTTGGAACAGATACTTTTAGATCCCCCCCTCCAATTACATAATAGGACACCCAGCATAGTCTCTGAGTTCATTTGAAACTGAACAAAGTTAATAATGAATAGTTGAAAGGTTTCTACTGAAATAGCAGTTAAAGGTTTAATACCTGGAAAAGGCTGAAAACCAAAGCTAGATACTTGCAGTCTGACTGGATCCATTTCCGAAACACTCCACAGAATTGAACCACTTCCTTTATCTGCCTGATAAACTGTTGTTTTATCACCAGTTGAAATGCTCCAGTAGATAAACAGTTGGTCAATTGTCAAATTCTCAAGAAATATATCTGCAGCAAACAGAGAATCAAAGAATGTCATGCAGTCTATTTTCCTATTTTATAGAATTGGGGTAGAACATTTTTCTTTATGAAGTTACCGTCTGAAGGATTCTCTTTACATAATAAGAAACAACACAATGGATCCTGACCCCAGGTGAAAAATGTTAAGCTCCATAATTTTAAGCATTTATAAACACGCATTCTTCTAACCCAAGGTTATTTCCCACTAATCCACACAAAAAGCAGAATTTTTTGTTTCCAATACATTGATAATTGTTTTCAAAACTACTTCAGAGTTGTTGAATGTTCAATCTCCCTTTATTCTTCAAAGTCGCTATGACAGTAGAATACCTCAGCAATTAAGCAAACTTATATCTCATATTTTCCCTGGGACCATCAGTTCCATACAAAACACCAGCTCCACCTGCATTACAAGTTTACATTGCTAGAGTTCTTCAATCGTCAGTGAATTATCATTTAAAAAATAGGTTGATGTTGTGATAGGAGGACAGCATGGTGGGTATTCTGGAAGGATGAGATCAGGTGGGCTGAAAAGACTTCTTTATCCACACCAATCTTGTGATCTATACCAATTTTGGTGGGTGAGCCAATCCAATTCTCTAGAAGCCAGTAAGGTTTACATACCTTGGAAGTGTCACGGGAAAATAAGTTTACAGTGCCACGGTTGATACATTTACCAGGCAGCAGGAAATCAGGTCAATAAATTGACTAAACAGTCAGACTCTGTCTATAGTAAGGATATCCACGTTAGCCCATTCTATCTGTACAATAGAAAGATCTGTTGTTAGCATTAGGATAGCCTGCAATGAGTGGGCATGATAGCATCATGTGTATATTGTGGGTAAGTGCCAATGCACTAATCTCCAGATTCCTCCAGCATCCATTATATAACTGGAAATGTAGTTGTAGATTGTCATTTGGAAACTTTTACCCCATCTTAACAAAGTGGAGTAAACTTTAAGACATTCCAATGCAGTGCTGGATATGTGTGTGTGGGGGGGTTGTTGCATTATTGGAGGTGCTGTCCTTCAGATGAGGCACTAAACCGAGGTCCCGTTTGCTGCTTAGGTGGACGTTAAGAGTCCCATGGCAATGTTCGAAAGGAGAAATAGATTTCTTATGGTGTCCTCGCCAACAATCCTCCAAATAAAATTGGTGATTAGTTTCATGGCTGTTTGTTGGATATTGTTGTGTGTAATTGGGCTGTCGAGTTTGCCTACAAATAAACAATTGTTCTATTTGACAGTATATCATGTGAAGCGCTTTGAGACATCCTCCTGATTATTTATAAATGTTAACATATTTTAGCATCAGAAAATTTACCCCAATATAAAATAAAGTTTAACAGTATGACAATTTATTGAAGGCATGGTAATTCAAGTTGGTCACAAAATTCAGAAGACTGAAAGGCGTTAGGAGTGGGGCATGATTAAAAAGAAAGTACAAGTTAAAAAGGTTAATCTAAGAGAACAACAACAACAAAATTACATTTGTATCGTGCCGCCTTTCACATCGGGAGGACGCCCCAAGGCACTGGACAGACAGAGTTACAGACCCGAGCTGGGTGTCGGGATCGGGGAGGATGGAGGGCGGGGGGGGGGGGGGGAAGCAGGGAGGTCAAAAGAACGGTCGAAGAGGAGGGTCTTGAGATGGGTCTTGAAGGTAGCGAAGGAGGGAGTGAGGCGGAGAGACTGGCTGATGGAGTTCCAGAGGGTGGGGCAGAATGGCTGTAGGCCCACCCACCAATAGTAGGTCGATCGAGCGAGGCGGGGCACATGAAGCAGGCCAGAGTCCACTGAGCAGAGGGATCGAGCAGGATGGTACAGGTTTAGGAGGTCGCAGAGGTAGGGAGGAGCAAGGCCATGGAGGGCTTTGAAGGTGAGGACCAGGATCTTGAACTGTATCATCTGTGTGATGGGAAGCCAGTGGAGTCGGGCGAGGATGGGGGTGATAGGGACACGGAGCCTAGTACGGGAGAGGACATGGGCTGCAGAGTTCTGGCTGATCTGTAGCCTATGGAGGGAGGAGTTGGGGAGGTTGACTAGCAATGAGTTTGCATAGTCAAGCCTCGATGTAATGAAACCATGTTTGAGGGTTTCGGCGGCCTGCGGTGTGAGACAATGACGGAGATGTTGCGGAGGCGGGGGAAGGCAGAGCGGGTCATGATGTGGGGTAGAAAGCATACTTGAGGGTCAAACAGGATGCCAATGATCCGGACTGGATTAGCAAGGTGGAGTGTGCAACCATGGATGGTGATGCTGTAGTTCCTAAGGTGAGGAGGCACTGACGGGAGCCAGTCAGGAGAGCCTCAGTCTTGTTGACATTCAGCTGAAGAAAATTAGCTCTCATCCAGGACTTGATGTCCTGGATGAGCTATAATAATGTTATCATACCCTTCTTACCTGACCACACAGGAACTCTGATCACTCTGTTACATTGACAGCCGTCTCGGTCTGACAGCCAGATCTCGTTTGACTTTGTGGTGAAATATATCTTCATTAGCTGAATGCTCGAGGAGTCAATGGCCATTTTACCAGATAAATGATTCCTGATGGCAGAGCAGTTGCACCTGTTGTTCTCTATTGACCCCTGTGGCTGATCTTCTTGATCTCCAAAAACACTGAATGAAGTTCCATTAACTAAATCGTGACATAGCAACCTGGTGCCAGCAGAGGAGTTCTGTATCCAATATAATCGGCTGAAACAAACCAAAAGTATTTATTTACATAGAGGGTAATTAATAACTGGAATAGGTTATTGGGTATGGTGGTTGAAGCTAAGATGCTGGACGCATTTAAGACTCATTTAACATTTAATAGTTTGATAACAATGATGGAAGGATGGTAGAGTGGGTATTCTGGAAGGATAAGATCTCTAGTGATTTTGTGACAAGTATATCTGGCCATTGGAATTTTCACAAAAGATAACAGGAGTCTCCACTACAAATAAAGTACTTGTTTTTCAGCCACCATGCGATGTAGAATTCCTACTTAATGCATTAATTGAAGTACCTTAGCAATGGATATGCAGCAAGTGATGAAATTAATGTATGATGGGAAGCTGCTGTTAAGTTAACCACCTCTAAGAATTTGATTTTTGCATCCAGGTCAACAATGAAAACTTGAGACACATTCCTGGCATTGCTTGAAGCGATGTACAGACGCCTGCCGATCCAATCCATGGTGATGTCTGCAGGATCATAAAGACGTTCATCTTTCAGAAGCTAAAACAAAATTAGAACCAGAGTAAATATTACCATCCTCATGGTGGAAATGTTTAAAAAGGTTTTGAGCGGAAGGTAGATCTTCCCCATTTGGGAGGGAAAGGTTGCTCACTGGTTTCCAGCAAGATTTCTCTTTATACCAAGCAGAAATATATCAATTTAAAAATTGCTTATCCTAGAATGGATAAGAAGATAGAAATATAATTGAAGTGGATTTACTATAGGTTGCATTAATTTACAATTACACTTTACATTTATATAGTACTTTTCACGTTGGGAGGATGTCTCAAAGCACTTCTCACAGCTAGCTGGGCAATCAGGCATTGTCTCTCGTTGTGCAGGACATCTTCTCAACTCAGTGAAAAGTAACTGGGGTCTTGCCATTTATGACTATGGGGAATATTTTAAGTGGTTACTTTAGGTCTGGTGCTGACAGAAACTTTTCTATATCTAATGGAAGCATCTGCTCAGTAGGCTTCATTACATAAATCTAATGAATTAGTTGCCAGGTTGAATGGTGCAGTCTAAGGTATAAATACTATTCTCTAATAGCTACAACCGTGTTTTTAGATTGACTAACGTTTAAATTATATGTAGGAGGTGATGAGTAGTATACGAGTCACATATTTGAATTTCAGTATTCACTGAGTGAATGGATTTTTTCGCCAGTTATATTACCAATTACCATTTGGGAAAACAATCCATCATTTACTGTGACAAACATGATACGAGTTAAAAATATCAAATTTAAGATATTTTATTAATTTTCTCTTTCTGTATGCATTAGAGGTACACAGTTTTAACAGACCATTATAGTAATTTACTGTAGTACTAGATGAATATTATTGTAATTCCCAGAAACAAACCATACACAACAGGCACGATTATTATGTGAAACAAAGTACCTCAATCTTTGAGCCATCTTCTGTTTTCATTGACAATAGCGTGTCATTCCTTATGTAATATATCATCTCATCAAGAGTGTGAAAGCTCAGTGCTGTCACATGTCCACCACTTATAATCACTTCTTCTGTAACATTATTGTCGACATCTATGAGCTTAATCTTATCACTGCATGCAATCAAAATCCGTGGAACAGGTTTCAGTACTATATGAGCATGGGAAAAGAGATTGATGAAAAATAGATTTTTATTCTTTACAGTTGGTCTTGAGTAACAGTAAATTGCTCTACATTGCTGTCAAAGTATACAACATATGCAGTACAAGGCCATAGCTTTGTGCATGTACAAGTGTCAGACAATAATAGTTGTACCTGAGTATACTATTGCATTATCCCACCGTATTGATGTCTGGTGATCTGTTGGCCTAACTATTATAAGTTGGTGAGTTTCCTCAGTTAGGTAGCTTTGTGTGTTTTTCTCCAGCAAGAACTGTGTAGGGAGGATGATGCAGATGTACCAAACAATAACTAACACTAGGCCAGCAATAAGCAGCGAATTTCTCTGTCTTGCTGAGTAATAATTTATTTTCAGATTGGGCTACTTTCCATAGTAATGGAGCGCGGTACACCTACCTTTTGCTATTTCAGTGGGAAAAAAAACTCTAGCTGTAGTTAGTGAAAAGCTTAAGTGTTTATTTGTACTTGAATCCAGAGGGAAATCACTCACAGGAAGGAATGTGTTGGGTCTGCTTCAGTTGTGTGCTGGATACTTTGTAAAAAAGGCTATGCAGGGCACATTTTCCAGTAGGACTGGATCCTGGGGTAGGATTGTGCGCTCTTCACCACAGCTTCTCCAGCAATCTACTGAGACTCTGGAGCTGGATTTTTGAAAATGTAAAAGGGGTGTGAATTTCAGAAGGTTCATCTCAATGTAGCCAATGTTTGTTTTTGCTTTATTGCAGGTTAAGGCTACGGGGTGAAAATTGCAAATAATTGATAGCTTATTTATCACTGACATTAATTATTCATATTATAGAAACTCAACCCATATATAATCTAACCTATTTATGTAATGAAATTATATGTAACACCTAAAATATATTATAATTAGAATAATAATCCTCGCCTTATCAAGTCTTTGAGATGTCTCAAAACACTTCACAGAAAATATTTTAAAGTGTATATCATGTATAGGTCAATTGCCTACCTGAAGTATTGGCTTCTACTATTACAGAGAATGATCCAGGGCCAACAGAAGTAAAAGCTTGAACCTAGAAACCATAAAGAGAAAGAATAATATCTACATACGATTTAGAACAATATTAGAACAATACTACAGTCAATGCACATACTCCTGTTGAAATACCACTTCTACTGATGGGAGCCATTATACTTTAGTAATAGTCTCCAAATAATCATTCTTCATGTGTGACCCCAGATGGTGAGCATCAGCAGGCAATTGTACTATGGAAAGAATCACAGCTTTAACAGCTTGGTTTATTATTTATTTTTGACAATACAAATTAAAGTCTGCTCTGTTATTTTGTACTAAAAGTTGCTTTCACTGAGTTGACTCAGTAAAATCCCATTATATTGAGGACAAACTCCATATTACAAGAAGGGAGTTTCTCCCAGTGGGCCATTAATCTCCCAGATAGAATTGGTCATTCACTTCATGGTTGTTTGTGGGACATTATGTGCACAAATTGGCTGCTGTAGTCACCTACAAATACATAGTGACTACAGTTTACATTAAAATCATGTGAAGCTCTGAGTTATGTCAATGATGTGATAAGGTGCTGTTTGAAATCCAGGGATTATTATTGCAAATATTTATCCTGATCGCCCCAGAATTCCTGTGGTAATCATTGCAAAGGTTTATGCCTGAATAATATTGAACCAGTCATTGCATCTTTAATTGTGAAACTTAACTGAATTTTATAAACTGGTGCAAATCAGGCATACCAGTTTGAATTTTGCAGAACTATCACTGAGAAAGTGAATTATTGCATTTTATGCATTGTATACATACCCGGAAAGCATAAATAAGATGAGTAGTCAACTTGAATTTATATGATGCCATAGTTGGTTTGACATCAACTTGGTTCCAAACTTTAAAAGACTTGTTCATGTTATTTAATAAAGTATACTGCACTCTGTATTTTGTGATAATTCCATTTTTCCTCCTGGGAATATTCCATCGGAACTCAACATCAGATTGGTTGGTGAACCGCAAAGTGTCACTGTTGCTTACAAATATTCTCAGATTCTCAGGTGGCGAAGGAACTATATGAAATGGAATAAACAGTAAGTTAGAGATAAAATGTTGCTCTTTGTTCAGCAGCTGGATAGACAAAATGCTGTGTGTACCAAATCACCTGGACCAGGAAAATCCCAGATTTTGGAAGCAGCTGTGCTCAATTGACTGATCGTATGACAAAATCATGTGTAGTCTTGATACAGTCAATAGAAAGAATGACTTTCACTGGTTGGTGAGTTAGTGCGTAGAAGGCATCAATTTAAGATAGCCAGTAAATGAGCAAATACGGAGATACGGAGAACTTTTTTCATATACAAAGTAGATGGTATATGGAATACCCTGCCTGGAATGGTGGTTGAGGCAGAATCCATATTAGCTTTCAAAAGGAACTAGATAGATGCACAAAAAGGAGTCAACTGCAGGGGTGTGGGGAAAAGGCAGGAATGGCCTTTTTTTGTGCTATAAATTTCTATGGTTCTATAGGATCAAACATGAAAAATGGCTATTTGGGTGAGGAATTGGAACAAGGTGAACATATATGGAATCATAACATGAGGCAAAATTTTTGATTAATGACCCAGACCGCATACTGACCCCGACCAAACTCCATACCCATATCTCACTAGTTCTGGCCAGGCTCCACTGGCTCCCCATCACCAAACGTATCGGCTTCAAGATCCTTACACTGGTTTTCAAATCCATTCAGTCTCTGGCATCTCCCTACCTCTCCGACCTGCTTACTCCCCAATCCACCACCCAGGGCCTTCGCTCGACTGGCACCAGCCTCCTGCTCGTCCCTCGCATCCTCCGCCCCACCATCAGAGGTTGCGCTTTCAGCCACTATGCCCCAAAACTCTGGAACACTCTCCTTCAATCCCTCCGCCTTGCTCCCTCTCTCCCCTTTTTCAAGACCCGCCTGAAAACTTTCCTCTTCGACCATGCTTACAGCCACCATCAAATTGCTTTGAAATTGAGTTCAATAACCTGTCCAGTGTCTAGTCATTTGAAACACAGTATTCCATGCTGTAAATGAACTATGTGTGAAAGAAAATTCAAATCTCTGCCTAAATTATTTTAGTAATAATGCTGAATTTTTGCTACCCACTTACCAAACAGTGAAAATAATCTTTCATTCCTACTTTTTAAAAACAGTACATGAGTTCCCCTCCTAACGTAGTCCACAAAATCAACCCCAATTGTTGAGGTTATCCTCATAACCATAACTCCTCATCCCTGATATTTTCCCCATTAAGTTACGTTGTAACCTTTCCATGGGTCTGATATCCTTTCTATAATTGTGTGACCAGAAGTATATAAAATACCTCTGTTGCAACTTTACCAATGAATTGTAGAAATGAAACATCAACTGTTTCCTTTTGTGTTCAATGCCTTGATAAATAAACCAAACAACCCATTTTATTGTTTTTATGTGACTAATTTCTGATAGGTCTGAACCTATAGGAAAGATTTTCCAAACTTCCAGTAATAATGGGCACTAAGAGAGGCCAGAGTAAACCTACACACAGAAAATGAAAATGCAAAACATTGATACATTAAGTGGTGCTTTTTGTAGGTTGGGATAAATGTTGTAACAGAGTACTGGGGATTATACCATGCATCTAAACTGGGCTAACCTTGATGCAGGATGGCTGGGTGCTGAAAGTGAAATAAAAGTTCCACGTGTTGCACAAACATACAATACCCAAACTGAGCACACAACTCTCAAACTTTGTTTTTAACAAAAAATATTTTTTTGCTAAATTTTTACTTCAAAGCGTTTCACATTTCTAAATCACCATTCCAGGTATTTCACAGCTAACATTTTATGTTTACCTGATTCGGGAGAATGTAAGTTCTTCTGTGTAGTGGTCCCTTTGCCCCAGTAGGTATATGGTGTAATTGAAAAATTAAATTCAGTAAATGGCTCCAAATCCAACACTTCCAATTCTGGTAAAGTTAGACTATTTTTAGCCAGGCAGTAATCCTGTTTGAAAATCGAAATGAGAAAAGAAAAGAATTTGATTAGTGAGTAACATGCCATTACAGAGCAGGATAAGTCGCCTGCCTCAACAACAGGTGAAGAAGGTTGTAAAGAAAGGTAATCCTGGACCAGTCAATCACATTATTAATTGACAGGGTACGTGGCATTGGCTCAAATCTGGGAGAGAGTCACATAGCAATGCTCAAGCCTGAGGTCAGGAAGCCCAACACTAGGTCACCCTGAGATTAGACAGCTCATCACTCAGATACCCCAAGGACAGAAAGCCCTTCACTGGGCAATGTGGAGGCCAGGGAGCCCATCACTGAGCAATGATGAGGATAAGGAGAACACTTGTAGAGAGTTTGTGCATCTGAAAAATGAAAGAAAACAAAACTTTAAATAATGATTAGAAACAGACAGGAAAATCTCATACCTCGTGCAACTGCAAAGCTGAAAATTGAACACAGTAGTAGACGGTGCCATAATCCACATTTTCTGAACCATTCCAAACCACACGAAAAGCAGAATAATTCCCTTTTATTGTGATGGATGATTCTGAAACACACTCTGGGATTACGTTAGGAGGAGATGAAAACCCTTCTGTAAAAATAAATAGAAAACCTTATTAAGAAAAAGATGGGTGACATGACTTGTAAATAATAAACTAATAAAAAGATTTCAATTTGTACCTGTTTACTTAGTACTCAAAGTGCATTAAAGTGCTTCAATCAAGCTGCACCTTGATGAAGATTCTGCCTGTCGATTACAAAGTTACACACCTGGTAAAGGCTTCAATGACTCTTGAACTAAGGTAAATGTGAATGATTTAGTCCTTGAAAGAAACACACTGTTCTTCTGGTTTTCCTCTTGCACAGTGAGGTAACCATTTCTATTTATCCAGTGAAAACGGTTACTATAATGCCCAAAAGCATGCTGCGATATGCTTTCCATGCTCCACGCTTCAATCAATAATGCTGTGTTATTTTCATGCCTTTCAATTGCAAGAGAACAGAAGAGTTGGCATTGTATGAACTACATAAACTCAATGATTTTTTTGAACAATTGTTTCCCATCTCTTCCTTTCCTGAAGGTTTTTTTTAACCCTTTGTTGGTGGTAAGGTTCAACAGCCATGGAATATCCTCATGACACCCTGAGGCAATCCTTCATGTATGAACCCAGACAACAAGTGTGAGTAGGGGATTCAACCACTGGGGGCTGTCACACCAAAGCCAAATCCTGTTCTCATTTGATAGCCATACAAAAGGGATCTTTCCCTGTGTCCTGCCCAACAATTCTGCAAATCAAATTGGCCAATCACTTCATGGCTGTTTGTGGGACATTCATATGTGCAAATTGGCTACTGCATTCACCTGCAATATTCACAGACATTACACTTTACAATTTATCCTGTGAAGTGATTTGAAATGTCCTCTCAATGTGAAAGAATTATTATTATTATTATTGTTATAAACATACTTTACAGTAAGCTCAGTAGATAGTGCCCAGATGCAAGAACCCTGGATGACATTCCTCTCCTTATTCCAGTAATGATGAGGCCAATTCTAGCCCTCACTGGCATCCCTGGCTAAGGTTACCTGGCTAAGGACAGATTGGGATTGAAACCCTATTCCTTCTTTAAATTACTTTGTGTTGTACCAATGGTGTCTTTAACCACAAGACAATCGGAAGTGCTCTCACTGTAATTATTTAAATAATGACAAATAAGCCACATTTCTGTTTGTAACCCTACCAATTTTGACGCAGTGTTGATTTGTACAAGTGCAAACACATCCTATCTTGAACAACCCAGTAGAGAAAACCATGGTCCAGATCAACAGTGCAGCCAAACACCTGTAAAATAGACAACAGAATTTAAATACACAATACAGTGTGCTAAATCATAATAATAATCTTTATATTTGATATAGTGGCCTCCTGCATGTTCCTCGTCCTCTCTGTTCCACCATCGGTTGCCGAGCTTTCAGCCACTATGCCCCCAAACTCTGGAACAATCTTCCTCTATCCCTACACCTTGCCCCTTCCTTCCCATTTTCAGGTCACACCTGAAGACATTCCTCTTTGACTGTGTCTAAGGTCACTTCAGCCTCTCTCCGCAGATCGGCGAAATTCTCCACCACTGTCATGCGCTCTAGGACCTTACCCTGCATGAGCAGTGCTATATAAATGCACGTTGTTGTCGTGGTGCTTTTTACGGCAAGAAAATGTCTCGAAACGATTCACACAATTTACTGTATATTCTTCTATAGGTGAACGCAAGAGCCAATTTATGCACAGTAATGTCCCACAAACAGCCATGAAATAAACAACCAATTTTATTTGGGAGATTGTTGGCTAGGACAGCAGGAGAATATTAGCAATTAAAACATTCTGATCTTAAATGGAATATGGATGTTGTGGTGGGGGGATAATAGGAAATGTGTTTCAGATTACCAAAACTAGCTGATAGCCTAACAAATGTTGACATTTAATAATCACAAAATCTGATAGGCTATTTATTTTTGTGTCTATTCGTCTTTTCTGCCGATGAAATTTTAAGCAATGAACAACAAAGCCTAGAAGCTACTGATAGTTATTTTTTTTAAAGAAGCATGAACTGCATTAATATTTTAATCAGAGAAAAATGTTTTTTTTACCCATCGATCAGAAAACGCTGGCAGTTCTTGGTGAACGAAATGATTCTCCCCATTTAACCGAGCACTTTCTATAGTCTGAGCTGTTGTCCAGTAAATGAATGCATTAATTGAATCCACTGTTAAATCTTGCAGTTGTCTTCCAGCCAAAATCACAATTTCTTCTGCAGCAGAAGACACAGGTTTCCTGTAAATCTACAACAACAACAAAATTACATTTGTATAGCGCCTTTCACGTTGGGAGGACATCCCAAGGCGCTGGACAGACAGTTACAGACCTGAGCTGAGGGTCGGGGTGGGGAAGTGGGGAGGGCAGGTGGGGGAAGTAGTGAGATCAAAAGCACGTCGAAGAGGAGGGTCTTGAGGTGGGTCTTGAAAGTGGTGAGGGAGGGGGCGAGACGGAGGGATTGCGGGATGGAGTTCCAGAGGGCGGGTGCAGAATGGCAAAAGGCCCGCCCGCCAATAGTGAGGCGAGCAAGGCGGGGGACGTGAAGCAGGTCAGAGCCTGCTGAGCGGAGGGAGCGAACATGGTGGTAGAGGGTTAGGAGGTTGGAAAGGTAGGTGGGAGCAAGACCATGGAGGGCTTTGAAGGTGAGAACCAGGATCTTGAACTGTATCCTCTGTGTGATAGGAAGTCAGTGGAATCTAAAATCTAAAAAGATATCAAGATGAAACTAATTTAAGATATGGGCTGCCTCACTTATTCTGAGTTTGTTACATCAATACAACACACTGCTACTTCTATTCACGGACAGTCCTGAATTATATACATTAGAAAGAATAAAACATTAATGGCATCATCTAAACAGTAACAAGCTAGATTACTGGACTCGATAAAGACTTCTACTAACTTTTACTCAGGAGACATCCCCACTTCTGTGACTCCCAGTCATTTTTCATCCTATCCTATTAACAGCTCTGCCCTTGTTAATTTGCTCTTTGTTCCAATGTTGCATCCAGTTTTTGCATTTTAAATAACCTTTTATTTCTCCATAGAAATGTATCTTACATTTTCTTTGCTTTGTGATGGTTATAATCTCCGCTCTGTTCCATCAAAATCAAACGGCATAAATGCATTCTTTGTTATTGTGTTTAGAAAACAACCCACTTGTGATATTAGACAATATCCTCACACACAGGTTATTTTTCATTAAACCACCAATTCCATCATCTCTGTATGTTACTGGTTGAAGAAGCAGAGAAACTAAATGGATGAAAAACTATTGATGAAAAGAACGATACTGAAGAAACGCTCAGAAAAGATTGGTTTGGATGAAGTCGACCCTTCGGCCCATCTGATCTCATCCCTCCAGAACACCCACCCTCCCGTCACAACATCAAGCTGCTTTTTAAATGAGTCCCGTGTCCTAGCCTCTACCACCCTTCCTGCCAACCTGTTCCAGTCATTAATTACCCTCTGGGTAAAGAGAACCTACCATTTAAATTTTTCTTCGTGAAAAGCTTACTTACCATGTTAGTAAATTTATCGTTCCAGTAGAGGTTTTGTCCTATCCAGTCATACGCTATGGTTCCAGTAGTTTCTATTTGTGGAATATAAGTGTGCCCTTGGTAACTGCTGCTATTATTGAACAGTGACACTTTGTGAACGTGCCCTGATGAGTTGGCCCAGTAGAGGGTGCCATTGTACCAATCCATACCTGCAGAGAGAATTGTCAAAATGTAATGATTCAGAGCCACAGTGAATAAAGGGCAGGAGCGAAATACACTACCCCTCACTTCCCCTTTAATATTTAATATTCCCTTTTAATATTCCTCTTCTTCAAGCATTTCTCTAATTCCCATTTAAAAGAATTTATGGATGTTCTTTCAACAACATGTTTCAGCTGAAAGGTCGACATTCCAAGTCTGTGTGAAGACATTTTCTTCTTCAGATCATCTTGAATTTGTGCCCTCCTAACTTGGATCCCAAAGAGTATAAATCCTAGATAGAAACCACCTGAGTTAGAATTATACTTGGCTTGTTCTGTTTCTTCAGACTCACAATGGACTGGATGCAATATGACAGTGTGTGCACTTTTCATTACCTCTGGCATATTTTAAGTCAGGAAAGAGCAATATTCCTGGACCAAAACTATCAAGACGCTGTTTCCATATTCCATCCTTCCTCGCAGCCAAAATAAAGGGCTCTTCTTCCACTAGGAATAAAGTTAGAGACACGCAAATATTTTAATACAGTGACTATTACAGGATGACTTTTACATTAAACTTTTTGATTATTATCAGAATTACTTTGCATTTATTGAAATGATGTGGGAAGTTACAAAGGATGCTGCATCATACTGTTGTTTGTTTTGTTTGATGAATATCAAAGATGATTTTCTTCTCATATTTGATGTGGACACAGTACAATCTTTCCATAAACTACTGCCACATGAAATATAAGGTTTCAGTTTAGGTTTATGGGATATAGGCTTAACTCAATCAGAATTCGTCAAAGTGACATTCAAATAATAATAATTATCCTTGCTTTTGATACACAGCATTATAACGTTGTTGGAGCATCCCAAAACACTTCTATATATACTGAAAGTGGTGTGACTATGTGTATTTTGTTGGCAAAACCAGCAGCCAATTTGCACATAGCAATATGTCACAAACATCCATGGAGTAAGTGACCAATATTGTTTGGGGATTGTTGGCCAGGAGACCAGGAAGAATTCCCTTCCCTTTTCAAATGGGAATAGAGTTCCATGGGATCTTTAACATCCATCTACACTGGCAAACAGGATCTTAGTTTAAAGGACAGCATCCCCCAGAACGCAACACTGCATTCAACATTCAGCATAAACTATGTGGGTTCCAAGTCTTAATGAGGGGCTTCGACCTACAACCATCCAACTCAGAGGCGAGAGTGCTATCAATTAAGCCAGGCTGACACCGGCAGCCAAACACAAACTCTGATTTGTGTTTGGTTACAAGATTCAAGGTTGTTCAACAGGAATTCAAGATAATGAGTTTGGCGGTCAAGAGCTGGAACCCAACTTCAAACCCAACCATTGTGTCTAAAAGTGGTTGGTGGTGGGAGGAGGAGGGGAGAAGAGAAACATTCACACTTGCAGTCAATCTTTGTGAATAATTAAAAAGAGAGATTTTATATATCTTTATATATAAAAGGTTTGATTACATATTTAATAATGGTCAAATCTGTTAATAAACATCAAATTTTTCACCCCAAGATGCTGAATGAAGTTTTGTCTCCCTTTTATTGTCACTTATTCTTATGATACCATTGACATTGGCATTAGAAGTGGCATAGAACAATTGTGTAATTGTCATTCAGTTAAATATTAACAGGACTAATTGAACAAATATTGAGTGGAAGTAATTTTTTTTGATTCTTTCTCCCACTTTGACCTTTATGTAATAAGCTGTTATTCCTTCACTCAACAGAAGGAAAGACAAACTTTAATGTAGGTTCAATTCACCCCAGGGCAGGGACACCTGGTGCAGGTTGACACATCTACTTCCAATTGTAGTTTAGAAACAGACTGGGGATTATCCATTCATTTCAGTGAGGCTCCAGACACCATGTTTGGGTACATCTGCATGTCTGTATTTATGATTGACACTAACTAGAGCTGCAATTATCTTCCACACATGTATGGAATTTGGAGAAGTGTTCAATTCACTACAGATAAAATTAAAGCTCATATTTTGGAACATTCCAACTGCAAGAGGTCAAAATAAGGCCCCCCACCCCGGGCAATTTTACTGACTCAGGGATAGGGTTTTTCTGGCGACTTGGAAGACTTGAAAAACTCTTTGATTGACATTCTTCCTTTTAGATGTCCCTGACTGCAAGACTGCTTTTCTTCACCTCCACCACATCGCCCGGTTCTGCCCCTAGCTCATACCAAATACGGTCAAAACCCTCATCCACGTCTTTGTTACATACTGGCCTGGGCTTTTTAAATGCACTCCTCACTGGTTTTCCTAGCTCTCCCAAACATAAACTCCATCTTATCCAAAATATTGGGTGCCTCCATCCTCACCCCCACCAAACTTCACTCCAGCCTTACCAGTTTCCTGTATCTCCTTGTCTCCCAGGGCATCAATTTCAAGCTCCTCACCCACATTTACAAATTCTTCATGACCTAGCACTTCCCTATATGTCTGATCTCACTTTAACCTATTCCTCTACTCACCTCTCTGCTGGATTTACGAAGGCTTGCTGCACATCCCCCTCCCTACCCAGACCATCATTGGTGATGGAGCTTCCAGATTCCACGTCCCTAAGCTCGAGAACTCCCTCCCTCAATTCCTCTTGAGTCCCACTTTTGAAACCGCTGTCTCATCCCCTCTTTATTTATCCTCAAGTCCCACTTTAAAACATACCACTTCAACTACACATATGATCACCTCCCACTTTCCTCCTGCTCGGGATCAAACCCAGTCACTGTAAAGCGCTCTGAGACTTACATGAAAACGTAGGATGATATAAATGCAGCTTGTTATTGTTGTTAGATTGGCAAAGCACATAAAAGAGTGCCTTGATCACATTTGCTATTGAATTGGCTAAAAATCTTGCTTTAAACTTGTTCTTGAGTCCCACACCAGGACTTTGACCTTACAGTGAAAGTTGACATGTCAATGTGTTGTAGGGGGGTTCTGTATTGTCAGACATGCCATCCTTTGAATGAGATGTTAAACCTGTCTAGGTGGATGTTAAAGATCCCATGTCACTATTCAAAATGAGAAGGAAGGAAGTTTCTCCCAGTGTTCTGGCCAACAATCCCCTCACCCCCAGATAAAATTGATTATTATTCACGTCACAGCAATTCACCTTATTGTTGTTCTTAAATAGGCTTTCATGTTCGCCACAAAATACACAATCTCTACAGTCTATAGTAAATAGACACAGCACCACAACTGGCACCGCCTTCCATCACCTCCGGAACATCGCCAGACTACGGCATTACCTCACCCCTCACGCTGCTGAACCTCTGGTCCACGCCTTTATCACCTCAAGGCTGGACTATGGGAACTCTCTCCTCGCCGGCCTTCCCGCCACCTCCCTCCACAAGCTGCAGGTCATTCAGAACTCTGCAGCTCGTGTACTGTCCCGCACCAGGCTTCGGGACCACATCACTGCCACCTCGCTCGCCTCCACTGGCTCCCCATCCCCAGAGGATTGATTTCAAGATCCTCATCCTCACCTACAAGGCCATTCACGGCCTTGCTCCCTCCTACCTCTCCGACCTACTATCCCCTACCTACCTGCCCGTACCCTCCGTTCCTCTGGCTCCGGTCTGCTCCACGTCCCCCGCCCCAACCGCCCTACCATCGGTGTCGGGCCTTCAGCCTCTCAGCCCCCAGGCTCTGGAACTCTATCCCCCAGTGCCTTCGCCTTGCTTCCTTCCTTTCCTCCTTCAAGGCCGGTCTCAAACCCTTTCTCTTTGACCGAGCCTTCAGCTCCCCTCTCGACTCTCTTCCCCCTCCTCGCTCCTCCCTTCCTCCCCTACCCTGACCATTTTGTGCAGCGCCTTGGGACGTCCTCCTGACGTGAAAGGCGCTTTATAAATGGAATCTTGTTGTTGTTGTTGTTGTTGTAAATCCTGTGAAACACTGAGACATTCTGGCAACTCGATAAGGCATAACAGCAAATGCAAGGATTATTTATTTCTGTATTGACACTAACAATATAACATTTCAAAACGTATTGAGGAAGAGTTGATCAAGCCCCCTTTTTGCAAAGAAAATGGAATTGTCCCTCTCTCATGAAGAGACTAAGTTGGATAAGAGGTTCGGGTAAATTTGCGTTATACTCTGGAACTATGGAAAGCTGTTTTCCAAATCATGATTGAATTTAAGAATTTTCCAGAATGTTTTAAAACAATAACCTTAAGGCTAAGACCATGAGAAATCTCAGGCCTCATTATTAGAAAGTCCCCTCATACCTTCTTGCAGAGTGGACCCTGTGAAGGCGGGTGTCCAAGGACTTGCTCCTCCAGGCGATACTGCACGGGCAGCAAGTCTATACACCGTCGAACTATGCAGATTTTCTACAGTGAAAATAGTTTCACTAATGTTCCTAAACACAAGCTCATCTGAAGAATTCTGTGCTTCCATTCTAACTTCATATGTCCATTCTTGCCATGCTGTTGGACCTGAAAATAAATGAGAGCCATTAATGAAGTAACAAAAATCTCCTGACATCTGTATTACTTGTAACAGAAATGGTAACAGTAACAGTATTTTGTGTGCCAATATTTATCAATATGTCAGGCGCTCCAAAGGGAACTAGTTTGATATGGTTAAATGCTTGATAAACATTAACAATTACAATAAAGAAAATATGAATGCTACCATTCTGAGTTGCATTTGAATCCAGGCCTCAAATTAAACGGGAGAACATTATAACTACAGCTTCCATTTTTTATAGAAACACAAGTGTGCTTCTCAAAAGCAAGAGGCAATATAGTAATTCTGCTTCATGTTGATTATACCCTAAAAGAAACCTGATTCTATTTTGGGATTGCAATAGGTTTAATAGAGCAGTGATCAACCCCTATAGGTGCCTCTCAATGTCAGCCTGGCTAAGTTGGTAACACTCGCCCCTCTGAGGCAGAAGATTGTAGTTCAAGCCCCAAATTGGGATTTAGAAGTCAGGTAGTCTATTGTGTGGGTGGCGGGAGGTGGGAGTTGTTGCATTGTTGGAGGCATCATCTTTTGGATGAGCTGCTAAACCAAGGTCCCATCTGCCTGCTCAGGTGAATATTAAATATCCCATTTCACTATTCAAACAGATAAGGAAGTTTCTCCCAGTGTCCTGGTCAACGATCCGCTTGATAAAATTGATTATTCATTTCATGACTGTTTGTGGGACATTGTTGTGCATAAAGTGTCTGCTGGGTTCGCCTACAAAATACTAGGTCACTACACTTCATAGTAAAATCCTGTGAAGCACTTTGAGACATAAGAACGATGTAATAAGCGTTATATGAAATGCAAGGAATATTATTATTATTATCTGTTTTGCCTATGTAGTGAACTGAGATTGGAAATGTGCTGACATCTGAATTATCTTTGAGCTTCAATAAACCTTTATGTGTTTGAAGTCCCCACACTGAACTCCGTGACCTCATCACCCCCACATCGTCCGGCTCCACTGGCTCCCCATCCCCCAGAGTATGGAGTTCAAAATCCTCATCCTCGCCTTCAAACCCCTTCACGGCCTTGCTCCTCCCTACCTCAGTGACCTGCTAACTCCATATAGACCTGTCCACTGCCTCCGACCATCGGCGGTCGGGCCTTCAGCTTCTCTGCCCCCAGTCTTTGGAACTCTATCCTACAGTGCCTTCGCTTTGTTCCCTCCCTTGCCTCCTTCAAGGGTATTTCAAGACCTTCCTCTTCGACTAAGCCTTCGGTCACCCTCCTACCCTATCCTCCCTGCCCTCCACCCCTCCATCCCAACCCCCAGCTCGGGTCCTATTCCCTGACCTTTAGCATCTTGGGACATCCTCCCGATGTAAAAGGCACTATATAAATGTAATTTGTTGTTGTTTTTGTTGTTGTTCATGTTGCCTACTTGATCCAGATGCAGAGAGTCACTTGTAGACAGGCTAATATAAACTAAATACTGGCATCAGATGCGGGTTGGAAGTGTGAATTCAACACTCTATTGTGTGGGTGGGTGGGTGGAAGGAGAGGGGAGTTGCTGCATTGTTGGGATGGACAAGTCTGCTGTTCATCAAACAGTGTTTGTAGGAATCATTATAAATGCAGTCAGCACAATCTATTATGATAAATCCTAACAATCTTTCAAATGCACAATTTCAGACGATCCTAATATTATCAAGAACATGTACTGTTATAAACTTTGTAAATCATTTGTTAATAAAACAGAGTGGTGTAAGCGAGAGACCATAACTCAAGTCTAGTTCCAACTAATGGAATGAAAATCTTCAGTCAGTTGACTGTAAGGAAGCTATGGGAATAGGTTTTCCAGGTTTCAACTCAGTTCCTTTTAGGCACAGGCTCACAGTAGTAAACTATTTCAAACTCCATGCTGTAAATTTGCAGGATTAAGGCACCTGGGTGTAATAATTCAGAGCATTTAGAGCATCCAGAATTTGACAGCTTCCGCAATACAGTTTTAATTATGAAGCTTATTTCTTCAAAGCTCTTCTTCAAAGGTAAGACTGAATTCAGCAATTTACCAAATTCTGCACACTCTAAAATTCAACATAATTAGAGCAAGTCTAGGCTCGGATGGATTTTCTACCCCAGATTGTTTTTACTTTTAGAAATGTTAGTGTATGGTAATAATAAATAAAATAATAATCCTTGCATTTGATATAGGTGCTTTTCACATCTTCTAGACGTCTCAAAGCGCTTCACAGAATATACTGTAAATGAATTGACTGTATATTTGTGGGTGAAATGCAGCAGCCAATTGCGCACAGCAGTGTCCAACAAAGTCATGGATTGAAGTGACCAATTTTATTATTTTTTTTCTTCTTGAGCGATTATTATCAGGTGTACGGAGTAAGGAAACTTGCCCAATGTTTCGCCTTGCCGGGAATCCAACACAGGTCTCTAGCTTGCAAGGTGAGTGCTCTAACCACTGAGATACAAGACTCCAGTAATTAATAATAATCTAATAATTCAAAATAATGATACTTACTCATTTTCACTGTAGGCTCTGGCTTCTTCCATTTTAAAACAGCCACATCCGAGTTGAATAGTGATTCAAGATATCGAGGGTGAGTTGGTATTGGGTAGGGCTGATCTGATGCACTATAGTACTGCAAGTTATTAAAACCAGTCTGTGAGACGGAAGAATCACACTCCACTGTGACGTAATTATAGAAGTACATTCCTTCAGCCTGTATTTCTTTTTGAACCTGATTTCCATCTGTAAGCGTAAAGTAGTTTTTGGCATATGCAAGACTCCGAACTTTCTGAAAGAACAGTGAATGACGCACAGGGTATAGGGACGATCCATCAATAAAGGTGGAAGAAATTGACTGGTTGGTATCATTGTAGAAAAAGAGACGTTTGGACTCGAAATGTATAGCAAAATCCTTCAAAAAGCCGCTCTTCTTTGTCAACGAGATTACATCATCACTGCTCCGGTTTTTGGAATCAGGAAGCTGCATCCTATAAATTCTATCCTCTCTCAGCAAATAAATGTACCTTTTTTGGAGAAAAGACTCAATTCATTAGATTGTTCACAGAAAGTAACATAGTAAATATAATAAACCTTGCATTTGGTATAGTGCCTTTCATGTCGGGAGGATAGTAGTTCACTTAGTTTAATGTGAAGTGTAGTTACAGCCAATTTGTGCATAGCAGTGTCCAACAAACAGTCATGAAGTGAGTGACCAATTTTATTTGAGGGATTGTTGGCTAAATACTGCGACCTCAGTAGAAATACTAGCGTCACAGAGATGAAATGAACTTTCCAAATCTATGTTTAAATTGTGGTCATGTCAATCTAGTCTATGCTCTTTCATCTTGCCTTTGGCTCCAGTATTTCCAAATTTTGCAGAACATTTTTTTCTGGCCAATGCATTTTTAATATTCATAATATAAATTTTTTTGAAGGGATTATTATCCCTGGAAAAGCGATCCGCCAATCGACTAGCAATCAGGTTCCTACTTACTGCTAGGTAGACAGGTGTGTGGAAATAAATCCGAAAGCAGTCTGCTGATTTTTAGAAACCTGGGAAGGTGATAGGTAAACTACGATTCAAATCAATGAAACTACTGTATTTGACTTCTGTCATCCTCTTATTAAAACCTGCCACACATGTTACGGGAGTCAAAGTCACAAGAGAAAAATGCTATACAATCACAGAATGAGGCCTTCAATGTAAGAAGAGTGACCACACTATGACTGTATTAGAAACTATATTAAGACGTGGGATGTACTGATTTCAAAATTGTTACAATGTCAAATATACAGAAAATCCTGTATATACTGTGTCATTTAGTTAGAACAATAAATTAAATGCTGCTTGGAAGCTCAGTAATGTTTTAAGAAACATCACAGAATACTGGTTTAGGTAACTAGATATCTGACCCATTATTTTAGTTCCAACTTGTATAGTTTAGAAGATAAGAAACTAGGGTTTAGGTTTGTTTTCAACACTCCAAGCATGTATCACTTTAACAATGATACAGTGGGACGAAAGTTTCATTTTGTGTCCACACTAATGAAATAATTTAGACAAAGAAGGTGGAACAGAGAAGAAAAATACGCAACAAAAATATTTCTTTGTGCTTAATTAATTATTGGTTTTGGTTAAGTGAATAGAAACAGGTGTAACTGTTGTTAACCCCTGATTCAAATCACCAGATCTCTGTGACAGACACTCACCCATTGTAGGGATCTGCAACAATTCGGACAGGCGCAGTGAAGTGACCTGACATAATGTTCCTAGCCATCAAACAGCTGTCCAGATCACAGCAGAATATCTTTATTGCAACAGGAAGAAGCAAATACAATGAATATTCATCAATAAACCAATTTTATCATTTTGCATTAGTCACTGACAGCTTGGGAGGTTAGAAGAAATGATCTTACACAGAGAGGTTGTTGGAATGTTGAACACTAAATTATATATGGCTGTTGAAGCCAGTCCATAACAGCATTAATATTGAAGTGTATCAGTATATCACAGAAGAAAATAGTACATGTAGAACTGAGGAGGACTGGTATTGTTTTGTGAATGACAGCACTCATGGGATGAGTTACTGTGCATCTGGTTGATGGTTGATAGTTTATTTATTGTTTAAGCATACCTTTCCATTCATCACAAAGTACAATTTCTGGTACAGCCAGTCCACTGATATTGCTGAGATAATCCCAGAACCATTGTAAAGCAGTTGCAGGTCTGAGAGGTCAGACATGTTGGCAGCTCCTTTAATCCAGATTTGATTCCCTTCAGAGAAATAGACTTTCTTCCTATAGAAATGCACAGTGATGGCTGGTAGAAAACCAAGGGCACGATTACTCTTTCAGAAAAATAATCAGACGGAATACAATTGTAATTTTATACAGATCAGGCCCAAGTTTCACCTAGTCCTAGCCTGCATGACCATAGTATCTTTATGATGGTGCAGGATTCTGGTAGTTTGTTAAATTCAGTCTTAATTTGGAAACAATTTTCCCGCAGTTCTTAAAATGAACCAGCTTCCACATTAAGACTGGAATGAAATATTTTCCATGCTTCTGCACTTACATTTTACTCAAAATGGTTTTACAAGGTAAGATTGGATGGAAGTTCAGGCCTTGCATGGGTTAACATTTAAGAACATCCAGAGTCTTTGTCGCAAAGCATCACAAATTATACAGTTGAACATTTTCAAGAGGGCTATGGTATCAAGAGGACTTTCAGTGTTCCAAGACGCTATCCTGCGTGAAGGGCCTTATAAAAACACAAGTTGTTGTTGTATCAATGTTAATCTTTCACTTCCACCACCACTGTAATTGCCACCACATCTAACTTCAACGGTTATACACTTACATATGATATATAATGGAAGAGTAATGATAAGCTCACCAGTAATGTTGTGTTTGATTTTAGCCTGCAGGCACTCAGCCTCTCCTGTGGTAGCATCAGTAATAATAACCTTGCGTAAGGATTCATATCTGGACAAAAACAACCACTGTTCTCCCGAGGATGCTGCTTTGTAAAGCAAAAGGATTACTGATTCAAGTAAAAAACAAATACAAATAACCATTCATGGAGAGAGAGTAAGCTGAAGGACAGAATCTGCGTTGAGAAACATTTTTCGAATTAACAAGATATAGGTAATACCCTAAGGTGTGCTGGCAGAGGGATTTGTGCTGAATCATCTTGTTCTCTAAATACATTCATTGTTTAGGAATGGGGCAAATCAAAACAAAATTGCAGCTGATTTGATATTATTGGCATGGACCACAAGAAAAATGCTGATGATTACCAGAAGACAAAGTGAAATCCAATCCTGATATGTGTGTTCATATCAAAAAACGTACATGGAATGGAAATATATCCTAAACAGTAAAATTGTCCAAGGAGTGGAAGAACACAGGGATTTGGTCATGCAGATACATCAATTTTTAACATTGGGATTACAGTTGGACAAATACAAGAGCAAATGAGTTTTATGTATGGATATATTGATTAAAAAACTGAGGAGTACATTCCAAGTCTATACAAAACATTGGTTAAACCACAGATGACAAATCAAATAGTTTTTGGTGCCCCATCATAGAAAGGATATCAGAATCAATGGAGAGGGGGCAGCATTGATTCACTAAAGAATTTTTTTGCATTTGATATAGGCTTTTCTTGTCGGGAGGATGTCTGAAAAGTACTTCACAGGATATTTTACTATGTAGTGTAATGACTGTATTTTGTATGCAAGCGTTAAAACCAGGAAGAAGGAAATATAGCTGAAATTAATGGATTGAAAAATGGGTCTGGAAGACAGAAGGTTAAGATGGGATCCAAAAGTGCTCAATATTATGAGTAAGAGGGTTAATAATAATAATCCTTGCATTTGATATAGCACCTTATCATATCTCTGAGACATCTCAAAGCGGTTCGCAGAATATACCGTAAAGCAAATCAACTGTACACTTTGTGGGTGACACGTGGCAGCCAATTGCATGCAGCAGTGCCCCACAAACAGTCGTGGATTGAGAGACCAAATCATTTTTTTTTAAAAGTTTATTTTTGTTTTGAAGCGATTATTACCCCCGGAAAAGCGATCCGCCAATCAACTAACATCCGATTTCCTACTTACTGCTAGGTACAGAGGCGTGTGGAGTAAAGAAACTTGCCCAATGTTTTGCCCGGTCCGGGAATCATATCCAGGTCCTCTCACTTGTGAGACAAGTGCTCTAACCACTAAGCTACAAGACTCCACGGATTGCCATTTCCACAGCTGGTGGAATAATAGTGGATTGCCATTTCCACAGCTGGGAAACCAACAACAAGGAAGGATATTTGTAATATGATTAGAAGCATAAAGGAAGAGGTTTGATTCCTGGGCAGGGCAAAACCTTAGACAAGTTTTGTCATTCCACACTCATGCCTTTTTTTACTTAACAGTAAGCACGAATCTCTTTGTTAGTCGATTGGCAGATCATTTTTCTGGGGGTGATAATATCCATTAAAAAAATAATTATGATAATAATAATTTGGTCACTCAATCCATGACTGATTGTGGTACACTGTTGTGTGTAATTGCCTATCGCGTTTCGCCTACAAAATATACAGTTGCTACACCTTCCCATTATATCCTGTGAAGCGCTTTGAGACGTCTCAAAGGCATGATAATATCCTGTATTAAATGCGAGGATTATTATTTTATAGAGGTTAGAGAATATATTTTATGCATAGAATTAATAGGATGTGTAACATGCTTCCTCAAGTGGGTATTGAAACCTAGGCAATTACATAATTTAAAAAGGAATTAGAGAAACACTTTGTAAATAAATAATAATCCTTGCATTTGATATAGCACTTTTCACGTCTTCCAGACGTCTCACTTCACAGAATAATGTGAATTGACTATATATTTGTGGGCGAAACTTGGCAGCCAATTGCGCACAGCAGTGTCCCGCAAGCAGTCGTGGATTGAAGTGACCAATTTTATTACTTTTTTTCTTAAGGGATTATTATCAGGCGTGTGGAGTAAGGAAATTCGCCCAATGTTTCGCTGTGCCGGGAATCGAACCCAGGTCTCTGGCTTGGGGAGCGAGTGCTCTTACCACTGTAAATGTATATTGTGTAGAGTAGATATGCATTGGTGGGCAGCTAGCACACAGAGTCAAATAGTTTTCTTCTGTAACAATTGTTTTATGAATCCACAGTATGATTGTATGCTGAAAAGAATATAACAACTGCATACTTATCAGAGGCAAAGTGGTGATATTAACATCTGCTGCTGTCCCCGCACCGTATCTATTTACTGCTGCAACTGATAACCTATTTAAAAAGATTATTATAGATTATATATATATATACATTTCAAAACCTATCATAAGGTTTTCTTTAAAATAAACTACAAAACTATTTTTGCTCATGAAATTCCCTGACCCCTTCCCTACATTCAGTGTTTTATTTATCATAGCACAGAGGGCTGCTGTGAATAGTTTACTGTAATGAATGTTTTCCTTGTTCATGGTAGTTATCTGATGAGCCAAGCATTAGTCCAACTGCTGGAGCCAAAAATCAGATCTCCAAAGAAGCAGTGAAGTCGGCACCGTGGTAACTGTCTGCTTTGATTTTATTTGGGACAGACATATAACTTGTTACCACAAGTAGCTGTGTCAATTACCTAATTTAGAAAGGACAAATGTTAAATGGGATTGGAGTGGATAGCAATGGTGGGGCGCTAGCATGTTGGGACCAATGTGAGTAAGTGCTGCACTATTGGATTGCCTCTCTATAGTAATATTGCCTCTTGTTGACACTGACAGACACGTTCTTGTCTGTATGCCAACTCCTCATTTTCCTCTTTGATATTGCATGAGGCATCTGTAACACCTAAATATTTGTGATAACATAAATGTGGTCCTTGCAAAAGTGCAGAATAATCTATTAATCTATTTAACTATTACTGGAAAGCAAACTCATCATATTTCTTACGACAACTTACATAGATTGCGATTGACTTAGTTACAACAATGATGGCTGTAGTTAGTGATTCAGTCATTTCTCTTTACTACCACTTATGTTTAATAGCTTTATGCTTATCACACACAACTGGAAAGCATTCAATAGCAAAATTGTTTTCCTCAGTGATAAGACTACCACAAACTGGGAACCTTCCCAAAAGGTTTCACTATTTTAAAAACCTGATCTCTCTCCTTAAATCCAGTCCATTTCCAAATACACTCTTACATTTTATGCTCAGCCATCTTGGTGAATGACCTTTCTGTTGGATGCCAGCTCTACACCTATTCTCATCTTGTGTGTTTTTACATGGTATAATCCAAGAGATAGTTTCCTTACAACTAAATTCAAGAGTTATACTATTCATTCCTGGGTCTTCTATATTTCTTAATTTGGAACTGTGCTTCAGAAAACATAAAATCAATCCCAAAGTCATTATACCATATAAAGCAACATTAGCAATTATTTCAATAAAATGTAAGCACTTCATATTCAATGTTGCTCCATTTTATCTGGAGTGTTAATTTCGTTCTCTGGAGTACATTTATTTGTTATACTCTAAGGCAATGACACTACATGTTAGGAAGACTGAATGTTGATTTACAGCACATATAAGGTAAAATCATATGCAAACACAATTATACCCACCCCTTTGCTATTACTGCCTACCTGTAGTTGGTATCTGGGTTAGTTGGATAAATGGAAATTTGAGAAGCACTGCCAGACGCTGCTTGGTGAATTAGATGGTCTTCATTGATCAGCTTTAAGTTATATCCTACTAGTGGCCCACTGGGAAAGAGGGGTGGGTTCCAACTAACCTCCACAGAAAAGGGACTTGGACTTTCGACGTTTACAATTACTGGAGCTGTCAAAGGAACTAAGTTAAAAAGAAATCATCATTCAGTATTCATATGTTTATATACAATGTATTCTCATGATTAGAAATAATATATTCATCATTAACCACACGTTAATTCATATACTGAAGCAAGATTGTATTTAAACTAATATAAAAATGATTCTTGCTTGTGAGTAATTTTCCAATATTTGGGTTCCCTGCACAATGCACATTTTAAATTCCAAGCCACTCATGCCATTTTGGCTGGGATTTTCCCATTCAGGTATATTTTTTAGCCACATGGACAGATTAAGTGGAACTTTGGCAGATGGATTTGATGCAGCCCAGTGTGAGATACTACACTTTAATATACGAATGGTGAATGAAAACACATACTGAAT